GGCTCTTGCCCCAGCTGGGCGTATTCAAACTATACTAATAATATGCAACATCGGGACGCAGGAGGAAACTCATACACACGGATTTTTCTCCTCTCTCTCTCTCTCTCTCTCTCTCTCTCTCTCTCTCTCTCTCTCTCTCGCTCTCGCTCTCGCTCTCGCTCTATCTGTGTCTGTCTGTCTAAAATTGAATTTACTCACAAACATGGATACAAGCCTCAAACATACACCCAGAGAACACACAAACAAACGTCAGCGGGCACCACACCCTCGGTCAAATTTACGCTTATATGCATAACAACACCTTTCAGACCTACCGGTGCTTCCTACTCTTTCGTTCAGCTCTACATATCTAGACATTTTTGAGCGTTCGACATCAGCAATAGAGTGCAGCATGCGCCAAGCATGGTACAATTTCCGGCGTGTGTGCGCGCCCAACCCTGCCAATTTTAAAATTTGGTCTACATCGTTAAAAAAAGGGGGGGGGGGGGCATGTACAAACAGAGAGACAGGCGCGGCACACGTTGGCTACGTGTGGGTGTTGAACTTGGGAGTCTGGCACCTACTCGGCGAAGCGACGCGCTGGCGCTTGGCTTCCGGCTCGTCAACCCAAATCTCTTCTCCCTTCTCGCCTCCAGCCCCTGTCTCCGTGTCCCAGCTCGAGCGTCCACAGTCACCCAGGTGGTCCAGCTGCTTCGTTGTCTGCTGCTGGAGACGTCCTTGCACGGGAGACGGCGTGATGTGGGTCGAAGGAGAAAGCAGAGCGAAGAGAGCGACTGCTGACTCCGCGTCTCGGATTCGCGGCTCAGCGCGCGGGAGTTTTGTCGGCGCGTTCACCATCCTCACCAGCCCCTCGGCGCCGGACCCGAGGCGCCGCCCGCTGGTCAGCGACGCCACCTCCGCATCCATGGACGCGTCGCTGTCGCTCCCGCTGCATGCAGCAAGCCCTCTCGCGCCGCCGCCGCCGCCGCCGCCAGCAGAGTTGGAGCTGCTCGAGAATTCAAAGTTGGAGCTGCTGCTCACCACGTTTGCGTGCAATTCGGCAACCGAGGGCGGTGAGCACTGGCGCAGGGTAAACTTCCCGTCGAACGATCTGCTGGGGGGGCGGATGGTGTAGCGCGGCGGCGGTCGGTGTGCCTGCTGGCCGGTGGCGGCGGGTGCGGCCATGCCCTCCTCCTGTTGTTGCTGTTGTCGTTGCCCAATGGTCAGCAGTCCCTTGGAACCCTCTTGTGATGGAATGGAGAGCTGTTGCCCACATGCCGAAAGAGAATGCGGGCGGCACATGGTTGTGTCCCCCACGAAAGCGCGCGTGTCCCAGCTCGCTGCAGGCGCCGCCGAGCGCGTGCGGTCCATAGTGACAGTAGTGCCGAGTTGCTGGTGGTGGTCTGAAATGGTTCTTTTGTTGCGCGGAGATCGCGCTTGCGTAAGTGTGCGGCTGCTGGTCGTGCGAGGAGCGAGCTGAGAATCTCAAAGAGGCCAATGTCGCACGTTCTCCGACGTACGGAGATCGTCAACTCCTTCCTTTTGGCGCCAAACTTTTGAATTTGAATTTTTTACTTGGTTTGAGAGAGGGCTTGCGGCCAGCTGACATCAGAGATACAACGGCTGACGTTTGTGTGTGCCGGTTGGAAGAAAGAACACATTCGGGTTCAAGTTCAAATGTGGCCTCTGGTGGGCGGCTGTTCGCCAGCGGCTGGTCGGTCGGCCTGTGTTGAGAGGAGCGTTCTGCGCATGAACGATGTGAAGGTGCGCCTGTCTACTGGCACTGCTGGTGGACGTTGTTTCTTTCATTCATGATGGATAGCATGAAGGGCGACCCGACATTGGCCAATGTTGAACACGTATCTACAGTAGTAGTAGTAGTACTTAGCATATATATATGCTATGTGCATGGAACGACATGCACATCGTGTAATTAATTGTTCATGGACTGCTGTTCGCTCGAAAAAAGGTTTTCTTCCCGCACTCGCTGCAAAGACTTCCAGCACATATTCTCCGACGCTGTTGTGGAATAAGTTGTCTCGAACGTAGATATCATACAGCAGCAGTCGTTCTGGTTGTACATCATGTAATATGAAATGTAGTCAGACTGGTTGTACATCATGTAGACAATATGAAATGTATTCAGAAGTAAGAATTGCAAGCTCTTGGAAATCGACGACGCGAAAAGTGTAGACGTCTACCTACATCTGCTGCTGCTGTGCTGCTGTAGACAAGGAGATGTGGACCACAGACAATGTGTGAAAACCTGTCCTCGTTGAACCAGCAGCAGTACAGCAGTCTGCACCTGCTGCAAAATACTCAAAACCTTGTCAATACAGATAAGTTTTGAAAAAAATTGTGCGCGCGGTGTTCTCAAGAGACAAGTACATACTGCAACCAAACGGCGATGATGACGACAACAAATAATAGAGTAGGTCACCTGGTACCTCTCGTCAGTGGATGTAGGGTGTAGACAACCCGCGTTATAAAGGCAGGCACATCAGATGAAGGAAGGAGGAAAAAAACAGAACGAAAATGGCAATCCCCCCCTCCCTTTGGGACCACGGCCGCGGTGCGTAATTTATTTCCCAAAGGTTAGAAGGCAAATTAGTACATTGACGTCCGGAATATCACCTTGTAGGTGGGATGACAACGCTTGGCACACCCGGCCCTACCCGTTTAGTGTGTAAATCTGCCCACGTTTTTCATTCCGCCGGAAAGACCGACGCCTTTCAATGGCCAGCCGGTTCGCCCGGCCGATGCGAAAGAACCACACCGGGTACCCGTAGCAGAAGTCTAACGTACTGGACAAGGGTCTCCAAACTGCAACCAAAGGGCTGTGAGGAACTCTGAACAGAGGGCACCGGTCTCAACGGATATTGGGGAGTTGGGACCTTTTGAAAGGTCCTCTCCGAATCCCCCCCTCCTTTCAGGAGCCTCTCTGTTTTGTTAGAGAAGAATTCTAGCGGTAACCGTTACCCGACCGGCTGGCGTTGGGTCGAACCACTTCTGAACAGCATTCCTCGGCGCGAGTTTTACGGGTGGGTACGCTACATGCCGACCACGGCATCAGATGTTCCTTCCACAGTAGTCAAAATGACAACGTGTCTTTGCTTCCTTGCACCGCCGTATTCTGGCGGTTCCACCGTTTTTTGGTGGGTGGCGGGGTTTGAACCCGCGGATCATCTTCCGCCAAAATCCGACGTCTCACCAAGACGCCAAATGTGAAAAAGAGGGAATGTCTCCCCCCTCCGCTCGTGAGTTGGGACAGCAGTGCTACAGGCCACCTCCATCTAATTTAACAACCCACATAGACCTCCCTCCTCATAAGGGGCTAATATCCACATCGCTTCGATTCGAGAAATTCGTTTATACATGTCCTCCTACATCATACTTGTATTCTAGACAAAACTCCTCCCCCTCTTCGCATTGCCCCCACACGGCCATCGGTGATCGGTCCTGTTGGAACAATGCTCCTTCCGTCCTCTCGAGGACGGGCCGTCAATGGGCTAACAACAAAGGCATTGCAAGACACGAGTACTCCCCCCCTCCCTCCTCTTCGCTTTAGCCACACATCAATGCGCGTTCCTTCCCCCAAGACCAAATCGCACGACGCCTTTGTCGCGGGCCTCGAAATGAGTGAACACGATTTGGTTTGTCGTGCTTGGGGCACAAAGGGTGCTGGTTTTCATTGGTGCCAGCGGTAGCCTACGAGCTGGCATCTACTCCGATTGCCGCATCCAAGGCGCGCCTGAAGACAGGGGAGTGTTACACAGCATGCGGCGGCGGCGGTGGCAGCAACACGTTGACACGGGAGGGAAGGGTAGAGCCCAGATCATCACTCCATGAGGGCGAAGAACGCATTCGATTGACTAGACGTTCTTTTCGAGGACAGGCGGCGAGATGCATGGAAAAAAAACGCTGACATCAAATTCCTGACTACCAACGAGGGGTGAATCGTCCGCTGGTTAATGCCAGGCGGCGAAAATACTAGACAAACATATTCGCTTCTAAACAAGACCTTACCTCCGAAAATCTTGCTCGGACATGCCCACCGCAGCTCCGTTGAGGGTCATCAGGAACTCCACCGCACTCCTAAGAGCGACGAAGCAGTAGCCCGGCCTACTCACGAGCACGAGCAACAAGCAAGAGGTGGTGAGAACGGAAGCCCAGGCGGCGTGTGAACGCACGTGGTGATGTAAGCAGTTGGAAAAGCAAAACAATGAGCGAGCTGGAGCTACAGCCTTTTATCCTTCTTGTACTTAAATAATAGCAGCATCCACTACTAAATACTGCTGTACCTTTCCTTTCGGCTTGATATGTGGCCCTTCCCCCATGTCGCAATTTCCGCAAAACGCGCTGCATTGTACTCGTGAACCGAACGAATGCCCTGTGCTTTAGTCAACGCCAAAGGCCCCTCGCCAATCGTTCGACGCGCTCGAAAACGCGCCTTTGCGGATCTGCTGAGTGGCTTCCACACCGCTGGCGGCGTGGGCATCCTACTATTACAGATAGGTATGTAGGCTGCCACGATTCCGAGAGCACTTTACCTAGACATGAGCGCCACGGGGCTGTGAAACGCCTGGACGTACTCGCACATGGAATGAAGCCTCGGCACTCTCGCCCGCAGCACCACGTAAATCAACACCGGCAAGAAGTCATCCGCGGTGCCGGCGGGATCACGCTCGGGTCGCCAGGATGAAACATTGCTGTCTCCTTCTCCTCTTCCTTTTCCTCCACCTCCACCGCCACCACGTCCGACCCCTTGCTTGAAGCGACGGCCCTGATCGATAAGGGCGAAAAGGGTATCGCAGCAACGCACCACGCGTGACACGATGTCTCCGGGGCACCGCCCACGGCCCATTTTGCGCAATTCCTCCTGCGTATTCAGCGGGATAGATGTTGTAGTAGAGGGGGGTTGGGCGGGGGGGCGAAATGAGACAAAGATTTCAACAAAAGATTCGTTCAAAATGGCTGCATATAAAATTTCTTTTCAGTTGCACCAGCAAGCAGGAGGAAAGGGCCATGTGAACGTTGACCGCCAAACATTTCTCGTCTGCGTAAAATATGTCCTACATGTCACGGCAGCCGAGCGTAGCCCTGACTAGGGACTATCGTCCTCTCTTTCACACCGAAAGGCAAGCACACATTCTCAAGCTCCTTTTTCCGGCGCAAAACAAATATCTGATAGCTGATGACGATACGTCATCTGGTCCCTTTCAAACCACAGCAGCAGCAGCAGCACACTCAACGCGCGCAACCTCCGCAAGACGCAGCTCTTCAAGACACCTCCGCCACCACTGGCACTCGCACCGTTACCAAACCTCCACCCACTAACAAGGATGGGATTGGCCCGGCAGCAGCGAGCTGGGGCACACGTGTTTTCGTGCGCGGTCTTGTGCACTTTGCACGGCTGTCCTAGTTACGTTTCCAGCACGTGCGTTTGTCGTCCGTTGCAGCAGTGAGGCTCATCACATCATCACAACGCCCAAGGAAACAACGATGATATCTATGCAGATACTCTACAAAAACCAACCTTGAACATGCCCGTTCAATGCAACTGGTGAAACAAAAAACAGAGATTCCATGTTTTTTTGGCACTCGAACTTGAGACGCTCTGTCATTGCCCAGACCGCAGTAGTTGCTTCCGAACTTGGATCGGTCGAGATCTACTCGAATCCTATAACAACGCCGTGCAAGGTGGTTTTCTGCCGCACCTGTGCCAAGGTTAACACGGTCTCCTCGCGAGCGTAAACGCTGACGTTCAGGTCGTGCGGGGTGAGGAACTGTAACGACTGCAGGCGGGCGGAGATGGAAGCATCCACGGCTCCGTCAAGCTTGCTGCCGAACGCCAGCGGGTGGATCTTGGACATGACGAACCTCGAATTATCCAGAGGCCGATCAGAGAAAAATCGGTTTTCAACAACAATAAATTTCATCGAATACAGTAACACGCCCGAAAGACAAACGACAAGCATAAAACTAACGGGGGGGGGGAATCCTTCATGGGCATCAATTGTGTACAACACGGCCCAAGCGTGCAAGCAGTATCCTGACAACTATATTAAACACACCGGATGCATTCTAACGCAACAAAGAGGCAGCGCATGTATCAGCTAAAAAACATCAAAGGGGCCTAGACGCGAGCGAAGACGACACATGGGCGTGTCGATCTCAACCTCCACCGCTCCATCTACATCATGATCACCTTTCAAGGTGCTCTCGGCACGCGACGAGGCTGTCATAACCGAGCTCAGCCCACGACGTGTGTACCCCCATGGCGTTTTGCATCGCCAAGAAAAACTCGGCGCACCTGTGGTTCGGACAATTATCGGGGTGCCGCTCATGGTTATGACTCACGAGAACCGAACGGCCGAACACAAGAGTCGTTCTGCTCGGTGGTTGACGGCATGCCGAGAAATTGACTGCGTCGGAGCCGTCTGTTGTACTGCCTTGCCCGTGAGACTTGATCGCTTTGACTACGACAGCAGTAGCGTTTCAATAACAATCCGACCTTGCCTTGTGCATCACGTACTTGAGAACACTCTTCTCTTTCTCTGTTGCCAAGAAAGGGTCCCTGAAGGGGTGATTAACCGTTCACCGGCGGAGGTATTTCGCTCTTGTTGCAATGTGGCGAGGAATTGCCAAGGCCGACATTGGTCGGCCGTGCTAGTGATAAGAAAGGGCAAATACGAGAGTTGAGCCTCGGGGGCACCCTTGACACAATCGTGATTCCTCCGGCTGGTCATAGCAGGCGGAGAATCTTTCCTTGTAAACATTGTCTGACTCAGAGAACGTTGTTCGTGCAGCTTCGGAACCTTGCACTTTGTACGTGCGTCACTACATTTACCACTAGGAAGATACCTACATCCTTGTCTCCACAAATGGGTGATTCACGCACAGCCGTGATAGGTGATGAGTGCTACCACGAACGCACAATGAACGAGCACAGAATGAAAATAAATCAGGACCCGTAGGGTTACCCAAGGAAGCAGCATCCCTCGGCTGAAGTGGGAAAACAGTGGGTTGAAAGACAACGGAACGAGGGGGGCTGGTGCATGTAACCTGTTGTTGTGTTTGCACAGGAAAATATCGCTTTCTTTCTTGCGCTTCTTGGTCGACGCAGTTCCACCACCCTGCCCTGACCGACTGCTGTTGTCCCGCCCGGACGCTGTTTTTCCGTTGTCGGGGGTATGCATACACTGGCCTTGGCCTTTCTTGTCCCTGCGTTCTGGCGAACTGTCTTGTGTTTTCGAGGTCACGCTCGAGACGTAACCCCTTGTTCGAAGGCCTCCTCGAGCGCGTTGAGCCGAGCGGTTACATAGCACGTTACGCCACATACAGCAGTATTGTATCGACGTGGCTAGCCATTTCCGGCATTGGCCAACATTTTTGGATCAACTTTTTTATTGTTGGTCTGTAATCTGCGCAAAACCGGGGAGAGCCGTCGGCTTTCGCTACCAACGGTACTGCTGATCCCCGCGGGCACCGTCGTTGTTCGACAGGTCCCGCTTTTTCCATTCCGTAAACTCATTTATCGATAACCTCCTGTACGTGTGGATTTGCGGGATACGGAGCCTCATTTTCAGGCTTTGTGCCTCCTGGTTGTAGGGGAAAACCAGCTTCCGCGATAGTACACTTACCTAGTCTGTCCGGAGCCAGGGAGAAAACTGAGCGGTATTTCGTACACAATCGCAGTACGTCTTCACAACGCTGTTCTGGCGAAAAGGCGGCATTCTTGAACACTGCTCGCTGTTTGCGGCAACACTGCTGTTTTCACAAGAGAGAGGTTTTTCTTGAGGTACACCTGTCGATTGGAAGGATTGGCTATTTGGACCACCGCTCCTCCTTTGTCACAAGTATTTGCCAGTGTACTTCAGAACCATCTCTTTTGTGCGGGCTGGTGCCGTATTAGTCTGATGTACGCAACACGCCCACAAAACACAGCAGCTTCATGCAGCACTTCTCTAAGTACCTCTGCGAAAGAAACGACGAGCCGTAGACCTCCACCTCTTCCGTCTCCCGCCGGATGTCACTGTTGCTCGACGCCCGCGGCCGGCCGGCGGCGGGGTTGACGGCGCCACCGTTCCCAAGGATGCTGAAGAGGAACAACCGGATAGCTTCCACGAACCCCTCGCTCTCCGAGCGCGTCAAGCGTTCCAGGAACACGCGATACGTCACCGCACTGCTGCTGTTTCTGCCACCGTCTCCTCGCTCGGCACGGCGGACGGAAGGGGGCCCGCCGGATTGTACACGGGGGTGTCCCGAGGAGTTTGAGGGCGCTCTGGTGGAGCGAGCAGTAGCAGCAGTGTTGGCTTTCGGCGTGGAAAGGAGAGACCTTATGGCTTTGGTATAAGCATCAGGTGTAGAGGCCACAGGTGAAGATGGTGGTGGCGGCGGCTGCAGCAGCGGGACAGCCTCGTTGAGTACGGTTTCTGCCTGCGAACATGGCACGAGGGGGGACTCATGAGGTTTCTTGGAGGCGCTCTCTCGCGCGGTTGCAGTTGAACAGGTGTCGGGGTTATAAACATGCGCACTTTATGAACACAAAACGTTACCAGAAAATTGATGGCACAAAACAGGGGCACGCAACGAGTATATCGTTGAATCCCCAACCCTAGACTAGCGCCGTAGTGCCGACATTTGTTTGACCTCGAATCCCTACGGGTTAACCAGGTTGCGGAGCCCCAGATGCCATGATACACAGCAGAAAGCTGGACCTGCGGAGTGTCTCGGGAAATCTGGTGTTCCTGTCGATTTAGACTACCGTATATGACACAAGATAACACACCCCCTTGACCGATTTTCAAAGATCGATTTCTCAACAGCAGGAAGACTCACAGCGCCGAAAATGGCGGCGTTGGAACCATGTCGTTGAGAGCTTTTGGAAAATGTATTATTTCGTTTATGTATCCTCTTCGTCGTCGAGTAATCGATCTTTGAAAATCGGGCCAGGGGGTGTGTTATCTTGTGTCATATACGGTATGCATACGGAAGCAATAGAATTTCATCTCCACATACAATGCATTCAAGGCCCACGATACAGCTATCATAGTCGCGATGATTCATGAAGCTGTACTGCAGTAGTGATGCCTCTCGGCTCTTGGGCACGGCAGAGACCCTCGATCGAGTTAATTAGGCATCCTCGGAGGAACAACAAGCGCCCATGCATACATATGCATGACGCCTTGCTTACCTGGTCCTGGCATCCATAAATCACGGCCAGGCGCGCCTTCAAAGAATCACGGCCACCCATTCCCTCTGGCGAAGGTGGTAGCTCGCTGATTGCACCACGATGAACACGATTCAGGAGCTCGGTCCGTTGAAGGAGAACGCACATCTGCGCATCGCGCTCTCTCACTCGATGCAGAATAGCTTCCGGCGAAGCATCCATTGCTACTTGTAGGGAGGGAAAGAGCGAGAGAGATGGGCGGAAAGAGATGGGCAACGAGACCAAAGACACACGGAGTGGCTGGCTGGCTGCTGCGGCAACAACATATGAACAAGGCACGGACTAGCCCAGACAGGCCAGAGGTCTACACGCGCAACACGCGAGGAGGCTCCGTGAATGATACGACAACACCCCCCCCCCGGTATGCTATTCGTCCGCACCGGCTGCAGCCTGAGCAGTGCAGAGAAGAGAGGGCCGTGCCGTGTCCTAGAGCTCAGGCGTCCGTGTCCGCCATGATGATGGACGAGTCCGAAGAACGGTCTACAAGAGAGCCCAAAGATCGTGCAACGCTTGCGTTGCCTCTGTTGAGTCGGGACAACAATACCTGGGAGCAATTTCAAGGCGCCAATATCGTCGCGGATACGGCTCACAGAGGTGCTTTGTAGCTTTGTAGTAACATGCAGTAAAATATTTCCAGGGGCAGCGTCCCCTTCGCGGTTGATGTTGTAAAGTGAAGTATGCATGTGGTGGTGTGGGATGTTTATGTCAACACGTCCCACCATGTCAATTGGTGAATTGCAGTTACGTACGCGTAATCCCGGAACTACGTTGCGCGGCAGAGAGAAAAAGCCTTGAAGCATACATTTATTTGTTCCATGTTCAATGCGTGCCCGGCACGGGTGGGCGCAGGCTCCAGAGTAGTAGACTACTGCTGTAACTGCTGTACACTTTCTCCCCATGCCACATGCCTTGCAATGGCGTCGTCCACCGGGATCAAGCTTCACATTTACCCAATGCCGGCTGTATGTATGTCAGGCGAGTGGAACGATGACAACAGTCGTGGTCTGCTCTGGCGCCTGCTCCTCGGGGTGATACCGAGGGACTCGCCCCCTTCAGAGTGGGCGACGGAGATGGCCAACAAGCGGGGGGAATACCGTCGGCTAAAGGCGGAGCACAGGGTAGACATTTCGAAGGTGCGCAAAGCTCTAGTCTCTGCCGTTGGTGCCGTTTTGTAGTTAAGCGCCTTGTCTACTTCACACGCGCGCGAACCCCCCGCCCGTCTACAGGCACCAGGCATGATTGATTGCGATCCCCACATAAAATGCTGTTGTACGGAAGGTTTTGCTGCCTGGTCATGTAAATCGTATCATGCACGGCTCGTTTCTTACTTATAGCATGCGACGACCGAGGTGTCTTCTGCAGGATTGACAAGATTTTCTGTGGGCAGCGGTAGGTGCGGTATAGCTTTCGCTCACACGGAGCCCCCCCCTGGCCTTCCGGGTTGCGGCGCCGCCTTACCACCGCACACGACACATCCTCACCGATATCTACGTTACAGCTACATATGTACAACGTCCTCGGCCATCAGGCTGACCCGGGCGTGCTACTCATCGAACCACCTGATGTTTCTCGATGCTCCAGGTGTTGGACACGACGGATCCCATGTCCGCAAACCCGCTGTTTTCAGGATCAGGATCAGGCGATGATCCATGGAGTCATTTTTACGAGGTGGGTGCGGCGGCGGGCGGCCCACCACTGGTTCTTGGCTGTTTTTGTGTTGCGTTGCGTTCGGCCTCATGGGCTCTTCGCGCTGTTTGTGCAGATGGGGCTCGGTCCCCACGGGCGTGTGTTACTCTACGGCGCCCCCCGTCTCTGCATGCAGATGTCGCGCGCGTACGACTGGTGTGTGTAGGAACTGCGAGACCCGAAATAGCTCGGCCGGCGTGTGTAACCACCTACGGCTATATGCCAGACCCAGGATCTCCGCCTCTACTGGTACAGAGTAAAACATGGAGGTGTGTTTTTCGTAGAGAGATGAGGCAAGCTGGTACGGCGAACGTGGATTTTTTGAATTTTTCGCCTCGCAACGAGAAAACCCCGTAGTGGGGCAGAGAGCCGTTCACTGCAAGTCCCTCGGCTTGCCAAGGCTACCACATTTGGCCGTCTTGAAGAACGCGCTTCGCCTGGCATTGCCGCTTTTTGTTGTGGTTGACCCGCTGGACGTTGCGTTGACCGACGAGCCTCCAACGCGACTGTGTGCTCTAACCCTAACCCAGACAGTTGACTAGCAAGACATCTCCAGTGCCCACAAAATACCGAAAGTGGCATGAATGTGCCTTCTGTCCCGTCTCTCTTCTCACCACCACTACTGCTGCTGCTGCTGCTGCTGCTGCTGTTGTTGATGATATTGTTTGTTCTACATCCGACAGCGGAAGGAGATGACAGATACGATCAAGGCTGACCTGGAGAGATTGTTTCCCACCGGCTGCGGCGACCACTTCCTGGCCCCGGCGAGACAGGAACTCCTCCTCAGCGTTCTCTCGGTGTGGGCGGACTTGAACACGGAGACGGCGTACCGGCAGGTAAGCTAGCTTTTCCGCAAGGAATGGTCGTGTGTTCTCGGGGTTTCGGCAGCTTGAGGCCTCCCACAGCCAACGCATGTTTCACTTGGGAGGTTGGTTAGTCAACCGAGAAGTTTCCAACGTGCGTTCTTTACACGGGCCCGCTGCGAGCAACTCCACTCGGCAGAAAAAATGGGCTTCACCTCTCGGAAGCCAACAGGGGACACTGACTCCCGCTTTCCATCAGTTGGTGTTGTCGCCTTTCAATTCACGCCCACCCTTCTCTCGCAATAAAGCGACCGACCACGTAGCTACAAATTTCGATGCCAATGCTGAACCGGCCGGGGAAGGTCGTGATCTCACACCAACAAATGGTGCTCCAGTCTGGTAGAACTTTGGGACCCGCCAGGATAGACTAAATCGTAGACGGCGGCCCGCCTTCGCGGCGTGCAGGACGCCACCGATGAGCTTCTGGCACTCCGCATCTGCCCGGTTCGTAGCCTTGTCTTGTTGCCCCTTTTATTCGAATGCACCATGACGCTCACGTTGTCAAGGTTCCACGCTACGCTACACATGCGGCCGTTTTTGTGTGTCAGGGTATGCACGAAGTCCTGGCGCCGCTCATCCTGGCACTGGAGAAAGAAGTCGCCGCGGCTACACGGGCGGAGGCCGTCGCTGGAGACTCCACTGCTGCTGCTGCTGCCACCGCTGCTGCCGTTGGGGAGGAGGGCGGGGCGGCAGCCGCAGCCGCAGCAGCAGCAGCAACAGCAGCAGCAGTGAAAGCATCGCCGTGGGTAGGGAAGTCGATCGTCAACGGGGAGCCGTTGAACGCGTGTACACACCCCGCCTTTGCCGCCATCCTCGGACACGGCTCCACACCGGAAGACCTCGAAGCGGACGCTTTCTGGCTCTTCAGCGCCGTCATGAACGGACTGGAGAGGTTTTACGAGCACGGGGAGAAGGCTACCTCGACCTCGGCACTGGGAGCGGGCCGCGGCGGCGGGGAAGGGGGTAGCGTCGACTCGCCCGTGGTGGAAATGTGCAAGCGGCTGCAGGGGGCGCGGATGCAAGCGGCCGACCCAGAGCTGCAGCAGCACCTGTCGCATCTCGACATTAGCCCTCAGGCAGGTGGCCGGTTTGGGTGCGGACGGAGGTTGATGGCTGTTGCCGGCCTACCCGTGGCTATGGTTTTGGGGTTCGTAGGTTGTCTGGGAGTGGAACTTCGCTCACCAGAGCTCACGAGCTTAAATTGGATGGTGTTGCTACGTTGGTACCGCAATGTACCGGCTGTGACGTTGTTGGGTGGCGCGTGTGTGTTGATGTATTGATCGTGGTGTTTCTCGGTCCTGTTCGTCGAGCAGCTTTACGGCATGAAGTGGGCGCGGCTGATGTTCGGGCGAGAGTTCCGCGTGGAAGGGGTGCTGGTGCTGTGGGATCATATCTTCGCTTCATCGTGGATCGAAGGTCAACCCGATGTGCCGGAGTGCATCGAGAACGTCGCCGTTGCCATGGTGCGTGCTTTACACTAACCTGGTTTGGCCCATTCTGTGTTAATAATCACACTGTAATAATTGTTGGGTGTACGTTGTCGGCGATGGTTCCACCATCACTCTTAAGCCTTGTCCCTGTGATGCATGCCGATCGATTTTTCTAGCCTTTCTGTCTGTCGTCGACACGTTTGTCGTTTGTACCCTTGCGGTTAGCACCGGTTGGACGTAGTACAACCCCCGTCAAAAATAATATGGAGCGTATGGTGTACAAGGGCATCTTCCAGGAGCGGGCGTAGTCGAGCGGATGACAAAGAGATGTTTTGTTTCACATGTGCGAGTCGTAGCTTTGTACCGCCTTTGTTGCCAAGCGGGGGTTGCTGCTGTCTCAAGTAGGTGCTGCTGCGTCGTCTCAACCGCACCCATATATGCCTGCACCGATTTCGCCTATATTTTCTGCTCTAAATACGCTTCTCAGTCCTCCCCCCGTCTGTGCTGACGCTCAAAAGACCCTTGAACCCTTACACTTATCCTTGCCCCCCCCCGCCCCCTCTCCTCTTTCGAACAAATCAGGTTGTATCGATACGCCACCAGTTGCTGGCAGAAGACTGCACCGGTTGCCTGCAGCTCCTCATGCGGTACCCGCCAGACCAGGGCGTTTCCACCGCCATCTCCTTGTCCCTCTCGCTGGCCAAGGGTCAGTCTTTAGCGGCTTTTGAGCGATCCACCGAACCCAGCTCTTTCGCTGCCGCATCTTCTGGACGAGCGGCGCCGTCCTCCTCCTCAGAGATCCAGCAAGAGCCTGCTCCTGTGTGGCTGAACCGGGGCGGCAGAGACCACGGCAGTGTTTCCGGCCGCAGTCCTTCTGCGACCGGTAGCGCAGGCCACGCGCCGTCGGAATGGCGAAGAGACGACGGAGGCGGCGGCGGGGTAGGGGGGGCGGGGGCAGGCGGACGGGCAAGGGCGTTTGGGCGGGACGAGCGGCTGGAGACCGAGCGAGAAGCCAAGAACAACTGGCAGCAAGGGCTCGATGAGTTTACTCGAAGGTGGGAGGGAGGGGGGGGGGGGGGCTCCGTGGATCGAAGTCGCATGTAAACATGCGTGCTTCTGGCGGGAAGTGGCTCGCGTGCTCCGAGTTTCTACCGTTTCACCGACGCACATCTTGCTCGGGCGGATGGCACCGTATCCCTGGAATGCGCACGCAGCTACCGGACGTTTCTTGACGGCCTGGAGTCACTTGCCTCTTTGGACATTTGTTACTACCGCGGTTCTGTTGTGTTCCTAGATCTGCTAAATAATAGCTTTGCGCTCACCAACCCGATCTGTGTTCTTTTTGACATGTTTCTCTCAGGGCTATGTCGGCAGCCCAAGGCGTGGCGAAGCTAGCGGTGCAGACTGTGGAGCGGACTCAAGGGGGGGGCGACCCGAGACATCTACGGACGGCGGGAGGGGTGCCAGCGTCCGAGGCCTTATCGCTCTCCCGACGGCTTAGGACAGCGTGCGCAAAGATGGAGGTGTGCACAGTAGTTTGCTACTGTTGAGCGTGATGGTGCTCAGTATGTTTAAGGGAGATGGGTCGCTTCGACTGCTACTACTGTACTGTACTGCTGGTCATTCTACGGTGAAGGTATTGCTGGTCATTCTACGGTGAAGGTACTGCTGGTCATTCTACGGTGAAGGTCCGACGTCTATTGTACAGCTGAGTTTGCAACTGCCGATACATGTTGTTCATTCCTGGTTAATGGGGGGCTCCGCAGTCGACGGAGGGTCGGGGGGTAGGGTGTCCACCGTGGGGTCGAATGATTCGATGGGTTGAGGTTTGTCGAATCGGTTACCAGGCTGCCCAGCACGCAGAAAACTGGCCATGCACCACTCGTTTCCATTTGTTGGCGGCACATTTTCAGACGAAGAAGCATCAGCCATGCATGGCCTTGGGGTTTGTCGCACCCGCGTATCAAACCTAGATTATCATGATACCCTGCCCCCCCATCGCTGCACGCCCTCCACAGCTCACGAGCGACGCTCCCGTGTCGCTTGGCACGGCCGTGTTTTTTGTGCGTTTTATCCCAACCATCACAGACTGGCGAGGCGCCCGTAAGCCTAGCTGCACAAGAGATCAAGGAGGTGGCGAGAATACTCGAGGCGCGATCGGGAGCCCCCAGCGTTAGAGAGCCGCTTCGCTCGACCAATAGCATGGGAGGTGGGGGGGGGGGACAAGGCGTTACCCGAGCATTCTCGACCTATTCTGAGGATGATGGCTGCGCAGATGCCTTGTACACTCAAGACTTGTGACATGGCGGGAGAAACTGCTGTTTTTTAGGCGAATAAGCGCGTAGCGAATGGAAGAGAGAAACATTCACATTTGATAGAAGACGTGTTGGGTAATTAAGTGACGTGTTGCATTACCTATCCTTTCGTGACAGGTGGTTAGTTCCACCCCCGGCATTGCGCCGCTGTCCATTCTCCTCTAGCCGAGCCTTGCGCGGGCTATTATTGTAACACGATGAACGAGACATAGCTGTAGATCTCCTGCCTTGTCTTGTCGAGTCTCCCTTCCTTTAGTCTACCTCTCTCTCTCTGTTGCAGTTTCGCCGTTAGGGTCCCAACAACATCAAACGTCGACGGCAATCGTTTCGCATCTTGCTGAGTAGGAGGCTACCCGTGTACCCGGTTGCTGTATGTGAGGCGATGGGCTTCGCCTCTTTCCGTCAAGCAATGCGCATGGCCCCTACGGTTCACCGCACATGCAGTGCTGTGTGACAGCTTCCAGCGGTTCAGAGCGACGACGGTGTTTTTCGCCGGTAGAGCCCCAGAACAACGCGAACCGCGACTGTTTCATTGTGTTGGGGTCCCCCCACTCACCCAACCCATCCATGCATTTTGTTGTTTGTGTTTCCCTGCCTACTAACAACTTCAGCTACTGCAGTGCAAATTTCATGGCGCCTAAAGTACGGTTCCGTAGGGAATTGCAAACCACGACCCCTCCCCGACTTTGAGTATAGCTTCAACCTCCTGCGGCGGATAAGACCGACGTCAAACCCTAGATTTTGTCTGTCTGTGTCGCCATGTGGCCATCCACGAACAGCAAGCTGTTGGAGAGTCACAATAAAGAGGGTCCGCTTCGCCACCAAGAAAACACTTTTTTTTTCGATTCTTCTACAGCTGGATATGATGCTACCATGTATCGGGTATAGCTGTGGTTGAGCTTGAGGGACAGGTCTACGGCAGCATATTCTGTGCGAGGAGTTAGCGCCTTCCTCGCGTAACGATGCGCATCTCCCACGGCAAGCAGAATGAAGTACGTCATCATGACGCTATTTCTTGTGACTACAAGTTCAAGTTCGCTCGGGCGTTATTAAAATATTAAATACACACACAGGCGCTACTGACGCCATGAATTCATTGCTAATCTGTCTCAGACTCTTTTCTTTGATAGAGATGGATTCGTTGTGTCATAATAAGAAAAATAAAAAATAAATATACACACAGAAAGACTACCCATTCGAGATATACTCACAGTCGTTTTTGTTCTTGCCGGAGAAAAAGACTAAACTTCTACTACAATACGAACCAGTCCGTGTTGTCTACCCGGGTACTGCATGTTGTGAGGTCGTGGGTGCTGCCCCTGCTGTTTGCTGCGGTACATGGAAAGCTTCCGGTGGGTCAGAGCGACAAGGGGGCCTTGTTTCTTCACTTGTTTCTTAGCTCTGCTCTCCTCTACTTCTTTGTTTCCTGTCGCTGGCGGTCTCTCTTTTTTCCCATGTTGAACGAGAGACGAGCGAATAGCCCGAAGGCAAGGCTCGCTCACCTTTAGCGCGCGCCATGTCGCGGGTGGCCGCACCAATACGCATCGCCCGATAGCGGCGATTCGTTTGGCGGTGTTGATCAGGCGAACCCGTCCAGTACCGGAGAATGTGGGTTTTGGAATGCTGGAGGTCCATCTCACGTTCCCAAGAAGGACGAAGAAGAGCTTTCCAACAACGCGTTTGGTATAAAACAGCGATGGTGCCACCACGGCCATGAACAGACTGATGGCCACTAATGCGGTCAACCTCGAGACGTTCGACCGGAGTCGACACGTCGTCTTCCGTATCATGGTAGGGAGGAGATTTATTCGCATAGGAGTTTAGCACATACGGTGTAAGGCCGGCAGGCAGGAACCGAGGCAAGTCTTCAGTGTCATGCGGATTAGCGCAAGGCTTGCAACGCGCAACCGATACACGGTTTTTCGAGTCCGGACCCGGCAGATCCGATGGAAGATCCAAATACAGTAACTTGGAAGCCAGAGGACAACCGTCGGGGGCGTCAGGACACGGACCCACGGCCAAGATCTTGAACGGACCAGTCCAAAGGAAAGACAACTTAGCCTTGAAAACCTTGTCATCCGTGCCTGAACGAACACCTTGCTTGGCGAATGGTAGATTCGGTGTTGTACACCCAAACCCATCCACCGACGGTGTATGAGGGGACCTTGCGCAAAGCATCCGATAGAGCGGAGTTACGCCGCTCAATCCGCGAAACGGACAGGTTGTGCTGTTCGCGAACTAAATCGTAAGAACGACGTTGTAATGTTGGCGATCAGCAGCAAGATCGCATACATACTCAAGTTGATCGCGATGCAAGCTTTGGTGGCCTCGAGCATATGGATGCTCAAAAACCGTCATCGGCATGCGTGGCAGTCGGTCCATATGCACCTCGTTGGGCGCCAAACCAGTAGCGGCACTAACCGAATTGTTGTAGGCAAACTCAACGTGCGGCAGATGAATGTCCCAATCATCTTGCCTCTCATTGACGACCATAGCCAACATCTGAGCCATAGTGTGATTGACGCGCTCCACACCCCCATTGCCGTTGGGATGGTAAGAGCTAGTAGCCACTTTGCGGATAGCCAGACGGGCGTACACAGCCTGCAACAGTTTAGAACAAAACTGAGAGCCATTATCAGACAAAAGGGCAACCCCACGAAGGGGTATACCGATTGACAAGTACGTCAGCGGTGCCTTCGGCGGTGAATTCCGCAGCCGTAACCGCGTACATATCAGCACGGCGGCTGAAACGATCAGTGAAAAGCAGAATATATGTGTTTCCACGCGGTGTCAACGGGAGAGGACCGAAATAATCGACGCTCACCGACACACCAGGGCCCGAAGGCAGCGGAAGGCACAAAGTAGGCCATCGACGACGCCAAGTGTGGTGGTATGCACGCGTCATGAAGTCTGGTTGACCCGTGAAGAAGAACTCACCTACTTGTTGTTACTATTAGCAGCAGCAGTAGTAGTAGCTGTTGCCTTGGGTATCGGTAGGAATGACACCAAGGGGCGCAGGATCCTCAATACAAGCAGGGGCTACTAGATCCTGTCCCCTGTTTTATCCTTCCACGGAGAGTTACATCTCTCCGCGCCTTCTAGGAGGAACCATTCTCTTCTATGTTCCGTCTACACATATATACCATCTGAATCCTATAACAGAAGCGAGCGGAGGGTCCTAGACTAATCTGTCGTTGACATGCGGACCCTTCTTCGGGTCAATTTTATTTTCGTGTAACTTTTTTGGGTAAGTTAGCCTGTGACCACGGCGGCGGGAATCGACCGCGTCAAGTGTCAGACTATCATACATAATTATTATATTAATACGGACAGACGAAGAAGCAGGTACTGGGTAGAGAGAGCAGAACGAACGGGATTGATTGTATGTAATCAATTGTGAAGACGACAACAACAACGAACGGAACTGCTGGGTTCGTCCATGGATAGTTTTTGCAGCACTTATTATGAAGTTTGGTGTATAAAACGACTTCTTCATGGATGGGTAATGAGGTTTGTTTCTAATTCAACTCCTAATAATTACAAAAACTAACTTGTACTGGCGTGAGTATGGAAGATGCTCCTTTCTTGTTCTTATTATGCATGATGGCATGTACCGGCAGTAGGTGACGTAATATATCGCATCATCGATATTCACAGCTAATAATGTTAGTCCACGACGACGAGGATGTCAAACGATAGGTAGGTTTGTTTCGGAAAGCTATCGGTGCCAACGCCGCCCGGCCACGCTTTCTGCTGTGGAGTATAATAATCGAGCTTTGAAAATTAAAAAAAATGTTCAGGGAGGGGGTCGGGTGTGACATCTATCTTACTTATTATTTATGCCATCTACTCTGTGTACAGAACTCTTTGTCGTGCTCGGTGGGCGAGCGTGTCGCGGTGTGCGCCCTCGACTTTACTAACCGCTACAAAACTGCTTCATCAGACAGGCAACGCGACGATACTCACTCGTCGAGTTGCTATCACAATTGGTACTTTTGAAGCAAAGTTTTTCCTTCAAAAATGAAGGAAAAACTCAAGAAGATCTACTTGTGACCTTCAAGCAAGGCAGAACTTCCGGCACCCAGAAGGAGGAAACGGATTTGCACGTGGGATCAAAAGAAAGCTGGTAACCACAGCTCTATGTAGGTACCTGAGTTGCGCTCAGAAGTTCCTACACGGTACAAAATGGGCAGCTGAATGTGGGCACTTCAAACGCCTGTTTTTAAGTGTTTTTTTCACTTTGTTGCCACAGCCTGTGGTTCTGAATTTATAACGCAACCAGAACCTTTGGAAACCCTTTTTTTTAGATTGAACACACGGTGCGGTCGTGGTGCCGGTCGAGCGCCGCGCTGTGCAGCTGTGCATGTGTAGAACTCACGGGCACCTTCGGCCTATAGTAGTGCCTACGGCTATGTGCGTACATGGTAACTAAAAGGAAGGGTCGCTATGTTGCGACCGGCGTGACAGCCAAAGGGAAGGCGAGGACGGAGAAAGCGAACTTGACCAACATCCTGCGTGCGAAGGAGGCGGCTCTCGCTGCCCGCGAAGCAGCTGTCGCTGCTCGCGAGGCCGCGGTGTCAGAGGCAGAGGAGGCGGCGAAAGAAAAGAAACAGCAGCAAGAACCCGATGCGGACACCCGTACGCCCCAGCAAGAGGCTCGGGAGGAGGATGCTGCCAAGCAGCGTGACGTCTTGGCCCACAGGACAGGCTCGCTTCTGGACAAATCGCAGTCTCGCAGCATACTCCTCACGTACTTCGAGCTGGTGCAGGCAGGCGTCGAGCCGAACAAGGCTATTCTCCGGACCGCCTCAACTCTTCGCGTGGGCAAGGACAAGGTGTTCAAGGTAAGCCTCTACTGTGACTGCTGCTGCTGTGAATAGTGCTCATTTGGCAACTACTCCTGTAAATATTGCCGCGATTTGCTTCTGCCGTAATTTTGAAAATTAAAAAATTTGATTGGATGCGTGCGCTACCACTGCTGTCCTGCTTTACGTACATGCGTAGTCGTATGCCTGTGCATCTTTTGTCTCTACAGAACTGCATGTATGGTGTATTTCGTCTGACGGCACCGAGCAGGTTCGCACTCATTGGTGGGAGAAGAGCGAATTGTTGACGTCATCAGGGGCAGGGAGGGGTGTGTCTAAATAGTACCTTCGGACGAGCATCAATTGGGAGGGGGGGGGGACAGAGAGCGTTTCTCCTGCTGCTACGAGGAGACTCTCTGCGACCGACCGCGGATTTGGAGAGTACTGTACAACAGTAGGCATCTGACCGAAAGTCTGGTGAGGCTGGCCATTGCCCTGCGTGCTTTGGATACCATCCGGAATGTATTTACGTGTTATTCGTGCGTCATCACAGGTTTCGTGTCACGTGGCGTGGTGATGCTTTGAACCCGATCTGGACTGCAGTCTACGTAGATGCGCGAAGCAAAGCGCACGAAAGCCTGTGCCGTGTATGGGACAAAATAGGTTGGCTATACGTCCGTCGGACCGTCCGAAGGCAGCGCGCAGCAGCAGCGACTGCCGTTAGCGTCGAAGGTGGTCTGTCATCGTTCACAACGATTGGTTGTTGGAGACGTAATGCAGCACCTCGCCGCCGGCGTACATGGATGTTATGGTATTTGGAGGTAGAAATGTGATCGTGGTTGATCATGGTTATTTGGCGCCGTCGGATGCTAAGACGTGACGTCATGCTAGATCAGGGCTTTATGCCGAGACATGTGCCCTTCTGTTCAGTGTGTGCGTACAGACGATCCCTGATCGTGTGTGCGTGGGATTTTGTGAGTTGGCTTGGAAAGCGTTAATCAATAGGAGAACAACGGAAAGCAACAACAACCTGCTACTGTGGTCGGACAAGAGAGTTCCACACAGCTCAAAGGTGATTGATTCTGAAGGAAGGAGTCAAATACCATTACACTGGCGTTGTTGGTTTTTGGTCGTGTTGCTTGATTCTTGAGTTCAATTGGTTTTGATTTTTCGCTTTTTCGCAGTCTGCTGAATAGCGGCAAGGTAACAGCCTTGGCCCTGCTTCGGCATATCGGCTCCTGATGAGCCGCGAGGTAGCAGCGACTCTGCTGTCTCGACCCCGTGACTATCATGTGTGCAAAGGCGGGAGCGACTTGTGACAAGACAACAAAGGCGTGTCATGGTGGTGAGGCCGTGCTCAAGGACATCATTGTTTTCTCAAGGGTTCGCGCCGCCGAAAACGGGTATACAGTTGCGACACGGCGACTCCAACAGAAAAAAAAAGAACGACATTCTCGCTGCTCCGTCCCTCCACGCAGCATGTTCATGTCATGCGAGAAGCGGTGGTCTTCAGCGCAAGCTCATGCCGACAAGGGCATCACCGCGCTGCAAGCTCGCTCCTACCACCGCTTTCGACGGCGCAGCCGTTCCAAGTTCATGGCGCATACTTCCGGCCCGACACGTAACCGCATCCTAGTATGGGTACGTTTTGACCACTATCACAAAGCGGGCACATCACAGAATCCGTAGCGCTAGTCCGCCGGGTACCCCACACACGTCGTGCATCTTTGTTACGCCCCATCTACTCTGGGCGCCAGTCTACACGGTTCGGTAAGCGTTTGACGCACCACCCGGGGTCGCGCAGAAGGAAGGTAAACAAGACCGTGATTATTCCTCCACCTTCAATTCATCACTCCGATTCAAGGGCTCAGCAGTCGCTTCCCTCTGCTCTCTCACGACCATGCCCTTTCCACACCACACCTCATTTTGCAACGTCACCAACTCCAGAGAGAATCGAACGTACGACCTCGAGACACCACACCTCATTTTGCGACGTCACCAACTCCAGAGAGAATCGAACGTACAACCTCGAGAGTCACAATGTCTACGAGGAAACCATCTGAACCACCGAGGTGACCGGAGAGTTGTACTTGGGACAATGTTCGAGAACTTGAAGGCCAACATGCCGGCAGCGTTTCTCGCTTCCGTAGGCCGGCGCGCTAGCCAGTCTGACAGAAACACATAGAACATTATCATACCCATCGCTTTGCTCAACCTATCATAGAACACAATCAATATCTTTATCTTGACTTCCTTCTTCACTGTCTTGACGTCTTGACCGGTGATCCGCGCCGGTGACTTGCTTCAGCCGGACCTACCCTCGCCCCCTGCCGCCCCCGCCCCTACCCCCGCCGCGCCCCCGGCCGCCATCCCTGCCGCCCCCGCCCCGTCCCCGCCCCCCCCTAGCGCCTCCGCGCCCTCCGCCTCCCCCTTGCTCGCCGGCCTTGCTGGGCCTTTCTTTGTTGATAAAGTCCTGCTTCTTGCCCTCAAAGCCAGCGCGCCTCTGGCGCTGTGTACAGTTAATGATTATGTCGCCGCACACATGGAGGGAGCCGTGAGTTACAGATCGAGCTCGTGTTAACCCGCGAAAATACGGTACGGAACACGGGATACCGTACGTACGATAGACAACGACGCACATACCCTTGCCGCGTCCCTGGGGACATCATTGGAAGCCATCCTTGTCCACAACGCCGAGGGTATCGAGTAGCTAGTATTGAGTCTATCTTCCAATTACCAGCAGTACGATACAAACCCTTTCAACCGCTCCTCTGGTTGGTGAGGACATCGGGCGCCAACCTCGTTCCAGTTGCACGGGGTGCCTTCACTATGCCTAAATCCCACATCGCACGCCCAATCAACACGGGAGGTGCCAGCCAACGATTCAACCTCTCACGATCGCCTCTTTCTCACCTTCCCGCCTTGACCCGAAGCGGCATCCCCCCCCGATGCCGCCTTGTCGGTCTCCCCCACCGCGGGCCCCCCCTTCTTCCTCCTGTTGAGGTTCTCCTCACGCTTGTCCTGCTTCTTGGCCTGCTCTTTCCTCTGCCCCGACAGCCTTTCGTCCCACTTGGCGGCGCTCTTGGCCTTCTCCTTCTCCTTGCGCTTGATCATCTTCTTCAGGGCAGCCGGGTTGTCCTTGATCTCGGCCCCTCCGGCCACGCGGATGGCGTCCGCCCACCCCTCCTCCTTGGCCTTCTCCTTGCCCGTCTCCGTTTGCCGGAGCCCCGCAAGCCGCTGCTTCTTCTCCTCCGCGGCAGCCAACAGGCCGTGCAGGCGCTTCATCTTGCTGCCCGGAGCGCCCACCTTGGGCAAACCGTGCTTTCCGCGGTTGCCGCTGCCGTCGCCAAGGACCCCCCGCAGCCCGGAGAACTGCTCGTGCCCCCCGTCATCGTTCCAATTTCATGCAAATCGTTTCAGAAAAAAAAGGTGGAATGCATGTGTGTGCGGATTGCCAACTCAGGCCCATGATATGCGGTGTCCCTCAAGTTGACGGTGTTGCGGGATTTGGGGGTAAGGTTATGCGCCGCTGCCGAGGGGCTCAATGACCAAGCACATTATGTTGTAAGATGTAGAAGAATATTTGAATCGAAACTCTGATGATGAATTTCCCTGTTCGACTGATCTACTAAAAATACGTCGCTGCGGCGCTTGGTGTGCGTGGTTCAGAGAGGGGGGGGGGGAGAGCGCGCTCCATTGGTGCACAAGGAATGGCACAGGCAGTATAAAGTAGAATCTGCAGGTACAGCGGAACCACCACCTGTTGCGACTGCGAGCGTTACATCGGGGGCAACCCTGGACGGCACAATGATCTACGATCCTCAACAGCAAACCTAAGCCATGATCAATTAACGGTAGGTAGGCCACCGTTTGCGACCGCGAGCACTACTAGTATACCCTGGCAAAATGATGTAGGCAATCCCTCGTCAAGTTTTAGTCACGCTTGATTAACGCCCCCAGGGTTCTGCGGCCGCAATATGCAGGTCATCTTACCTCGATGTCTCCTACATCTTCCACGGTCGGCAGAGGGGGAAGCTGCGGCTTTGCAACGGGTGCATGCGAGCCATTGGCTTCTACCTTGGCTCCCTTGGCCTTCCCTTCAACGGCCCCGTTTGCGGCTGTCAGGGCGTACGTTTGCGGCGATGGAAGAGAGGAACAATAATTAGCATGACATTCGCGAAGCAACAAAGCATTCACCAAACGAAAGCGGCGAATAAATCCGTTGTCCATGTTTATTGCTGGTATTTTTTCTTGGAGTCGCCCAGCCCGGAGTCTGGTTGCGGGAAAGGCGTGTGCCGTCAGAACTCTGATGCAATCATGCATTGACCGCACAAAACGAAAGACAGCAGTTACGTTGGATGATGAACTTCGGAAAGCCCCCTCTTCGTGACCGTTTCTCGTCCCGACCGCCCTCCAAAGACACGTACACGCCGTGACAAACCAAACCACCAACCATTGAGAGAGTCAACCCGTAAAAGAAGCGGTTTTCCGGCAGACGGAGCCCAAGCACAATCCAGCAGCACCCAGAAACGGGTGCAATACTGCGCGGCCCTCTCCCTATTGTTTTTTCTTGCTCGGTTTCGTCTTGTCTCTCTCGCCTCTTTCCTAATAAAAACACACGTAGTCTTTCTCACCTTCTGCGGACCCCTTGGCTCCACCCGTCGCTCCCCCCGTTGCCGCTACCGCGGCAATCGCCCCTTCCCTCCCCTTCTTCCTGGCCTTGGCGCCCTTGCGCTTGTTCTCCCGCTTCGTGGCGGTCTTCGCGCTCCTCTTAGCGGCGGTTTTTGCTCGACGGCTTCCCTCTGCGGCGGTTCGCTTCTCCTGGAAGACCTTGATGCGCTCCTGTGAGCGTTGCAACCAACAGCAAGTATCAAGAGGGGGGGGGGGACAACAGACGGCATGTTCATTCGGGCGAGCGGTTTTCCGTGGGTCAGAAGTGAACGTGGGCCCGCGTGCTTGAGGCTGCAACCAGGTTTTCTACAAGCTCCGGAGTTTGTTGACAAAAAGGTCATAAAGTTGTCTGGGGAACCGAAAGGCGCCAGCTCGACTAGGTAATACCACACGCTCTCTGTCTGTTTGTCTCTCTTTCTCTTTCTCTCTCCTCTCTCTCGCCCGTGACCGTGCGAGAATGTGTGCAATGTACGAACTGGGAATCACTCCACTGGCGTCCACAATCGATAGGATAGGTACGACAGGAAGGAAGGGGGGCGTTGATTGGTGGGGCACGTCGCCAACTACGTCGTGGGTAGTATAGCAGTGAGACATGTATCCATAGCTGCGGCCGGCAAGCGCTCTTGATGGTGAAAGGGATCGGGCACACCCTTCCGTCATACAAAAACGCAACACTCAAAACACAAGCCCGGATACGTCCTCAAACCTCACAAACAGAGGGGGGAGGGATGTTCAAGCTGCATCATTCCCCCGTTTCGCCAGGCACAATGTGCTCGCTCATAGATATGACTGGATAAGTTTGCGGGCAAGGTTGGTGTGTAAACACGGAGTACAACCTTCACAGTTTCAAGCGTAAGCGTGTAGATAGCGTGCTACATGTTCTACTCCTGCACCCTCTCACCTCTATCCGCTTCTTGAGGGCATCCATGGACGCCACGTCCATACTCTTGCCCCTGAGTACCTCGCTCTGGAGCCCGTCCTGCTCCGCGGCCGCCTGTAGGCCCCCGTCACTCTCGTCGCCGTCATCGTCGCTGTCTTTGTCGCTACCAGCGTCAGCATCGCCCCCATCCTCGCCGGCCTTGGCGCGCTCCTTTAGCGGATGGACGGGACACAGAAGGAAAGCATCGGGAGAAAATGACGCAGACTCGTGGTGAAAAGCAAGCGGGCAGCGTCACGAGAACAGCCGCCAATTGTGTCACACGATCAAATGTACGAATCCGGAGCATGGCGTTCAGGACGTGACAAAAGAGCGAGGCCCGCGAACGGGCAACAATAGCAGCTAAGATAGGACCCGGTGCAGCAATGATGCCTACGGCATGTTCCAAGAGAAACAACTCAGAGGAACATTGGTAATAAATACACACCGAACCCGGTTTAATGGGGAAATCGGCCGCACGCAATTTTCGTTGACACCCTATACCATTTTCGTGTCAACACATTCGGGAGTGACTTCATACATCCAGGTGGGCAAGTTGAGCAAAACCAACGTCTTATCTGGGTCGAGTGCAGCAACAAACAAAGACACAATATTGAAGTACAGCAGTACAAGGGGCTCTCCGTATCGCACGTACCTGCTGCTTCTCCAGGAGTGTCTTCTGGTTGTCGGCGGCGTAGCGGGCCCGTTTGTTCTTCTTGGATTCCTCCTTCTTCGATTGCTTCGGCGCCTCGCCCTTCTTGTTCTGTTGATCGATCGGTTATATGCATATGCATACACAGGGGGTTCAGATACGAGGACACGAGTATAAGCAAGGAAGGCCGTCGGCAAGGGCGTCCCATGCAAGAAACAGGATGTGTTCAGCGTAGGGCGGGTTGGCGGTCACGCTGCGTACAGCAGCAGTTTCGCTCAAGCTAAGGTACCAGCTGAACAGAAATCAAACCGCAGTAGCCTTGGGCACAACAGGTGGCTACAACGGGGCAATGACGTGTAGTCGGCCGAACGCTGGCAGCCAACAAAACAAGAGAGGAGACCGAAACACGCCCAAGCACGAGGCTTTGGCGGTGCTTCAAGAGGCACACAGGGGTACGTCCTATATTCTGTGATGCCGGGAACGTCGTGGCGTATCACAGGAACGAAGGAAGCGCCACGGTGGCTGTCAAGAACCTATTGTATGTAGCCTCGCAGCACATGGGCTTGTCGTTGAATTAGACTATGCTTGTTGAAGGTCATTTTCTATTAGTCACCTTCATGTACTTGCTGGCGTATGAAGACTCCGCGACCTCCTTCGCGCGGAGCACCAGGTTCTCCGGAATCATGTCTAGCATCCTCGAGAAAAACTCGTCATGTTCCTGAATGGTGGCCACAAGCTCGTCCTCCACGGATTCACGACCTCCCTCCTCTCTCTCCTCTTCTTCATCCTCTTCGACCTGGCTTCGTGGCCGCTTCTTTTTTCTCCCATTCGCACCCCTTCCAGTAGAAGCGCTCTGGCTATCATTCCCGCCGCCCCGCTGCTTGCGCGCAGCGGGACGCTTGACAAGCTCCTTGCCACCCTTCCCAACTAGCCCTGCTGCAGCTGGTCGCTTGTGGTTTGAACCCCCGGATGATGAAGTTGAGGCCGTTCGTTCCTTTGTCATGACCTTCGACACACCTCGAGCCTGCGCAGCTCCGGAGGCAATGGCCTTCTTGCGGCGGTCGCGTCTGGTAGATTTCGTCATGGTATTGTGTGGTGTGTGTTGTTGCCGAATCTCTCTCGCGAGAGCTGGGAGCAGCAAGCAGCAGCGGTCGCGGAACCAGCGGATTTTTGGGGTTTGCAACTGGTTCAGACGGCGAAATAGGGGCTCCGTGAAAGACATTTTGTGACGGGCGGGGGAGAGGGGAGAGCGACACAGCAGACGTGTACCTTTTTCTACCGCAGCGTAACCAGTGCGCTGCGCTGCTGTACTAGGCCACGACTGCGGCAAGCGAGGGAGGAGTAGCAGGCAGAGGAACACCCAGCAGGGAGAAAATAAAGGGAGGGAAGGGGGCAGGAAGAAACTAGAGAGAGAGCGGCAAGCGTAGGGACACTGAAGGTGAGAAACCTTTTGAACCCGTGAGCCCATGTCGTGGTGGTTTGTCAAACAGAGTCGACTGACCTACCCGGCTTGACTGAAAGCCCCGCTTTCAACACGAGTGGTTTTCTCCAGTACAACGTCGATGGGGAGTTGTTTCGCGTCCAACGCGTCTTGGAGAAACTCGTTCCTTGCCTTGCGCCGACGCTTGAGGCACAGCAGCATCGACGGAATAAGCATTTTCCCTGTGGTTTCTTGTAATAGTGCAGCCGAAGCTCGCCCAGGGTGTAGGGTTAGGATACAGAAATGCACCAGCAGTTTCGTAGCACTCTGCGCGCACAGCTGTCACCCCCCCCCGAAAGACTGTCTGTACATTGTGATTGGTTACACAGCAGTTGCGCATCACCTTACCAACCACAAATCAACGAAATAGGCTCCCACCGCAGACGTGGTTATTGTTCATCGACAACCACCCCAAATCATCCGCGACGGAACATCGGTAAACGGTGTCTGTAAATTTCACCGACAGCTTTGTTTCTTCAAGATGCTACTTCACGAGTCTGTTAGTCTAGAATCTAACAACGGGTACAAACGAGGGGGTGACCCTTACCATGTACCCATGTATAGATATCCTTTTTTGCCGTGAGAACCCGGACGGTTTCAACTGACGTTGTTCAAAATCACCTGTAGCGATTTTCGACGTTTCCATAGGACAAAGGACACACACGCAGCGTACGTACATGGAGAAGAACCCAGCTGCTGCGGAAGAACCGCTCTCTTCTTGCCTATCTGCCTTCGAAAGGTAGTAATCCCTGCGTGAAGCTACTGCTTTCCAAACACTTTCGCTCAAGCATACAAAGTTAGTCCGGTACATGCACGCAAAAACGGGAGGTGCGAGGTAGTATAACAGACCCTTGTCATGCCATGGTGGCTCAAGGATCAAGAGGCCAGACAAGAGAGGGAACGGGGGAAACTCCTGAAAGTGTTTTTTACCAAGCTGACCCCGCCGCATTGTTCATGCCTCCCGCTCCCTGGCATCAATCAGACAGACGCACATGGACGAGGAGCGCCCTGCTTCTCTTTCGAAGTACACCATTTGATCCCTCAAGACGCAAGTAACTCTTTCGGCCGGGAGCATGAGCCGCCGCCGCCGCCACCGCAGCAGTAGTAGTAGCAGCAGCAGCAACAGCAGCAGCAGCAGCAGCAACAGCAGCAGCAGCAACAGAATAAGAAGGAGGAGTAGGGGGGGGAAGAGAAGCAGCAGCAGCAGCAGCAGCAGCAGCAGCGGCGGCGGCGGCGGCGGCGGCAGCAGCGACAGGAGAAGGAGGAGCAGCCGCAGCCGCCGCAGCCCGGGCCGCAACCGGTCGCGGAGGCGAAGCCCCAGCGCTAGCGTAAGCTACTACAGCAAGAGCAGGAGTAGAAGCCAAGATCGTCGCAGATCCAGGACCCCAGACCGAAGGCGGGATGACAGGGGCGGTAGCGGCAGCGGCTACCGTACGCCGGAGAAAAAGAAGAGCCGAAACCGCAGCAACACCCCCGTGCGCCTCAAGTCCTCCGAACGTCGGGGGGGCGGTAGCAAGTCGGGGCGAGAGGGAAGCCGCGGCCGCACGAGCAGCTCGAGGGAGAGGAAACGGGGGGGGGACTACGGCCGGGACTCGGTAGGCAGGGGTGGTGGCTCGATTGACGAGGGGAAGAGCATCATCAGCAGCAACGCGCCGGGCTCGAGCAGCAGGGGCAAGGACAAGGACAGCAGGGATCGAGGGAGAGATCGGGCCGCTCGGAGTAGTAGCCGCGACCGCAGCCGTGAACGGAGCCTCGAGCGTATCCGTGACCGCAAGCGGAAGCGAGGGTCCAGCAGGGGCTCGCCGAGAGAGAAGGAAAAGGGGGACAGGTCCAGGAAGGAGAAGGGAGACTCGGGCCGGCGAGACAGCAGAGACTCCTCCTCCAAGCGGATCGACAGAGACGAAGAGAAGAGCTACGATCGGTCCTACGACAAGGAACGGTCCCCGCGCAAAGAACGTTCCCCGCGCCACAGAGACCGGTCCGTCAGCCGCCAGGCGGAACGCAGCAGCAGGAGGCGCAAAAGCGACAGCAAGGATCGCGGCGAAGAGCGAAGGAGGGGGGGTTCGAGGGCGGACGATAGCGACTACGACGATAGCGATGACGATGGCGGTGGCGAACCCGTGCGAGGCAGCGGGAGCGGCTCCAGACGCAGCAACAGCAGGGACACTGCCCGAAGTAGCGGTGGTAAGAGCGACAAGCATCGACCGTCTAGCGGGTCGGGGGGCAGGCCTCCAAAGGCACCGTCTGCGATGAAGGACTCCCGACCCCGCTCCAACGGTCACCGCCGCAGCTCTGACGCCGCGCGCGAGAAACCGCCATGGAGAGGTGAGGGCAGCAGAAGCAGCAGCAGCAGCAGAAGCAGCAGCAGCAGCAGCAGCAGCAGCAGCAGCAGCAGCGGCAGCGGCAGCGGCAGTAAGAGATCCCCGACCCTTGCCGCGGAGAAGGCGCTCACGGGACGAGCGGACGCTAGCCCAGACTCGCGGGCGTCCGGAAGCAGGGGCAAGGGGCCCTCCAGCTCCATGTCACGTTCCTCCTCGCCGCGCAGCGACGGCAGCGTCTCGCCGCCGGCGACGGTGACTCCCCCGTCCACCCCCCGCCGCTCTCTCAAGGACGGGCGCTCGCCGAAGAAGAGGTCACCCAAGTCCAGCGGAGACTACGATTCCGAACGCACGGGTAGCCTGTCCACCACGGCACCCGCACAGGACAAGCTTGCCGGTGAGGACGGAAGAGGCATCGGCGGAGCGTCGGGGGGGTCAACAAAGGCCAGCAGCGGCGCCACCCCGCCTCGGGGCACTCCGTCCCCGCGGCTGGACAGCAGCAGCTCGGGCAAGTCGACGCCGTCCCGCCTGGCTTCGTCCCCGCCGAAGGTGTCCTCTCCCAGAGAAGCGGCGCTGTCCGGGGATGATGAGTCGGACGAAGACCTGGCTGGCGAGCGCGTGTTGGCTGACGACGCCTTCAGCGGTGGCGGAGGCTTCGCGACCGGGGCGGATCCTGCTCCCCCCGCCGCCGCCGCCATTGATGCGAGGAGGAACCACGGGGCCCCAAGCGGCGGAGAAGGCGCTACCGTCGGGACGGAAAGAGCGTCGAACGGTGATGCTGCCAAGCCGAAACAGCAGGTGGGTGAAGTGCCGGCACCGAAGCGCCGGTCGCCGGTAGAGGCGCCAGGTTCTCGAGAGGAGAGTGCGTCGGCTACAGCGCAGGGTCCTTCGGCGGCGGCGAGCGAGAGCGCGGGCCAGGCGAAACGCCCCGGTAGCGGTGGTGCAAAGCGCTCGCAGCCGGTCAATACGGGCGCCTCCTCCTCCTCCTTCTCCTCTGCTCCCAAGGCGGTGGCTGGGCGAGCCGGCGTTGGCGAGTCGTTGCCGTCATCGGTCTCCGCTGCTGGAACGACCGCGAGACCTCTCACACCCAACAGCACCAGCAAGCGGTCCCCCGGGCAGGGTGGCAGAAGCGGCGGGAAGGACAAGAATCGAGCTCGTCACGGAGTGGACAAGAAGGGCAGGGCCAGCGTCGGCGGCGGTGCGAGTCGTCAGCAGGGGCAGCGTGCGGCCGGAGGTGCCCCTCAAGCCCGGCGCACGCCGAGAGCGGCAGCGGTTTCGGCTGCGGCTAAGATCAAGAGCACTAGTGAGGGCGGCGGCGGGGCGCTGGGCGTCATCGACGGGGCCGGCAGCGGTCTGTTCGGCGTCAGCGGAGCCGGGGGCTCGAGTGCGTTCACTAGCTACGGGTCCGAGGAGGCTCGGCCGGATGATAGCGAGGAGGAAGCCACCTTGGATGGCTTGGTCGGCGCGAACCGTTCAGGGCCGTCCGCGCACTCGGCATCGTCGTCTTCGGCGCCCAGGCCGATAGACCCTCGCGAGTGGTACTGCGCCAGGACGCAGGTCGAGAAGATGATCAGGCTAGACTACCAGAAGGTGTACACGAATTCGCCCAAGCTGTCGATCGGGGGGGCTTCGTACACGTCGTATCTGGCCATGGTCGAGACGCCGATATGGCTCCGGGAGATTCAGACCCGCGTGGCGCCGGTGAAGCCCAAGTGCAAGTGAGTATTGTACGGGTGTTGCGTGTTTCTGTCCCTTGGCGGCTCACGGACGGTGGCGTGTTCGACGGCATGGGTCTAGTGCAGCAGCCTTACGTGCCTCGAGGCGAGGCTCATTCGCAGAATCGCGTACAAGTGCCGTGCATGTTCACCCCATGACACGTTTATTTCTCTCCCTTGAAATCGCGAACCGAACCGCCGCCCTTGCGTCTCTTGTCTTCGTGACGCGAGAAAGGTACCGCACCATCGACGAGTTTGTGCACGATGTACGACGGCTCTGCGCCAACTCCTTCATGTGGACGCGCGAGACGTCGAACGTGACGGTGCTCTCTTTCCTGCGGCTCCTAGAAACGGCTGATGTGAAGAATGTGCTCAGGCCGTCCAAGCCGCTAGTGCCCAAGTGGGAGAAGTGCTTGCAGGTGAGATTGATGCTACAGCAGTCGAAGAGTTTTTTTTGTTTTCTTGAGGGGTTTATTTTCTGCTGATGACCTTGCCTCTTTTGTTTGTGAATAAATGTAAGGGAGGGTCTACCGATAATGATCCACACGCACGTTCCCGCGGGAAGACATTGAGGGACGTGAGTACCATGCGGGTGAGTGACTAGCTGTTACTGCCGTTGTGACGTTTGTGTAGACCCCGCTCGCTCCAGGCGTGGAAGGCAGTTAATCTCAAGCCCCGTCCCGAAGATTGCCGTTGAAACAAGCAACCCAACCCCCTCCGTCTCCGCCCCCTTCTTGTTTTTTTGTGTTGTGCCCGGACCCACGTACGTCTCGTGTCGTGTCCTAGTTGCTTAACCGGCTCTACTCCCTGACGGCGCACATCTACTACCTCTCGTACCCGATGAAGATCTACTACCTCTCCGACCCGCAAGCAGAGCCGAAAGACTACGCAGAGAAGGTGTGTGTGTGCCGACACGACATGCTATTCCAGTATATTATATTCTGTTCTGTTCTATTTCGTATTCTATAATATCCTACATATCGTTCTGGGTATTTGGTCACAGGTCGTAGGTACTCAATGCATATATATCTAGGATTTGGCGTGATAAACGTTCCACGTTCCGAAGTTGGGCGCCCAGGAAGCATAGGAACGGTTACCGCTGTATGACACGCGCTGCACGCGCTGTGTACGTCGAATATGTACAAGTGATACGGAGATTGGCGGGTTAGGTTAGGGTAGGTTAGGTTAGGCATTGATCTAGTTGGTCACGCACTTGGGGGTGGGTGGGTGTAAGTGTGCCGGCCATAATTCAAGGTTGAAGCTTGAAGCTTGAGTGTCATGGCCCTGGCGAAGGTAGGCTATCTTGATGGATGGCTTGTCTCCGTCCGTTCTTGTTACAATACAGTCGGCGGTCCTCAATACCGGTGCCCTCAATAGCGGAATGCCCTCTATAGCGGCACCGAAATCACTGGACACAACCGCATTTCTAAGTCCAATCCCTATTTGGAATAGCGGCACTGCCCTCTATAGCGGCACCTAAACCTCTTGTCACTGCCTACCGCATTGAGGACCGCCGACTGTACATCCGTCCCTGATCTTGACGGCACTACTATTTACTGTGTCCGGCGACTGGCGTGCGGTCGCAGGTGAAACAGCCGATGTACATGTCTAAGGTGGTTGTCAAGCTTCTAACCGGAGAGTATTCGGACGAGGGAGGCATGGTCGCCGACCTCCGGCTCATGGTGGAGAACTGCAAGAGGTAACCTGCTGGAAGGGCGGTAACGGTAGGCACTCTCTTAGTCGCGCATGTCGAGAAAACACGCTCAGTATCTCCGGAATATCCTCCCATATTTGACCTTCCGCGCTCGTTGACACGGTGAAAAAATGATCCCGTCCAAACGTTGGATGTAAGAGCTGTAAGAAGTCAGGTTAGATTAGCCTCGAGGGGGGTTAGGGCTAGAGCTACACTGCCAGCGTGTTGCTGCCTACACGTGACCCTTACACCAGCTGCGATGCTTCCTCCGTACATGAGCTACTATTACATGTGTCCCGTGTTTCGCGGCGGTCGTTTCCGCGGAAGTCGTCGAGAAGCCCCTGTATTGTATGTGAGCCAGTATAACCTCCTCCAGCAACGCCTCGTGTCCGTGAAAAGGGGGGGGAGGGGGTCGTGTCCATTTATTTGTTGTCGTCCCGCGGCCCCCCTTTTGGTTGGGCTGAGTTGATGTCGAGGGACGTTGTTGTGGGTGCTGTCGGTTGTTGTTGAGGGCAAGCGCCCTCGTGTCACGAGGTGCTTGCTTACGATGAATAGCGTTGTGCAGTGTTCTCCTGTCGCGCGCTTGGCCATTTGTTCCTGTCTCTTGTAAGGCACTACTAAGCCTTCCATCTCACAGCCCGACCAGCAAAGCATCACTTCGGTGCTGTTTCCTTCTTACTCCTTCACATTCCTGGTATGGGGTTGTCCGGAGGATGCAGTGTCAAGAGATTGGCTCTTCATTACAATACGATTTTCTAATTTTCAGCCATACCGTCCGTATGCATGCCGTACCGTGTCAATGCTGGTGGAGTATAGGTACTACACTAGCAGCGTCTTGCTCGACGCGGACACGACTCAGGCGGCCCTTGCGAACGCGGCGGCGGTCCAAGATGCCCTGGAAGCGGTGAGCATTCGTCCTTGCCCTTATCCTACCCTTTGACATTCGGTGCTTGTTGTTCACGTGTCTTTCCCCCAGGAAACAAGACATAAGCAATACCTGCAACACACATTTTTTACCGGCATTCGTTGCGCTCAGCAGTCCGTACGAACAAGACACCGGACAATCGCACAAATATACGAAACACAGGTTCATGGTCCGGATTAAGTAAATTGATCGCTCCCCCAAGTGACGTTAGGTGTTGTGAATGTACCGCCTTAAAGCGAATCACCTGGCCGAATGCCCCCCTTCCGTCTTTTACCGTCCGTCGCTTTATGACTGATTCAGGGTGTAAAGGTCCTACTGCCGGAGTGGCAGGCGGCGACACCAGCACCCCCCATCCAGCAGCAGCAGCAGCAGCAGCAGCAGCAGCAGCAGCAGCAGCAGCAGCAGCAGCAGCAGCAGCAGCGGCTGCCGCAGCAGGCGAAGGAATCAAAACCATCGCTGTCGTTCTCGACGTCGCCGTCTCCAATCCGAAACGTTCGCAAGGCTAGTTCCCCGTCCAACGCCCCCCCCCCACGCTCCGTCAGCGCGTCTCTCGAACTCCCGGCTGCCCCTGCCCCCGCCGCCGCCGCCGCCGCCGCCGCAAAGAGCACCACGGCCGGCGCGACGGCGGCAGCGAAGCCTAGCAAGATCAAACAGGAAGGGCGGCGATGGTCGTCACCGGACGTGTCTTTGTCGTTGGGGGCGACGGCGGCGGCGGCGGCGGTAGCGGCGGCGGTGTCCGCGGGCGAGGCACGCCGCACTCCCACGCCGCCAGGCACCGGCACCGGCACCGGCGTCTCGGCGGCAACCTCCAAGAAACCGTCCAGCAGGACTTCGTCCCCTTTGGGCGGCAGCGGTAGGAAGTCAGACGGGACAAGGAAGTCGTCGCTTGGCGGCGGGATGGGTGAGCGGCCGCTGTTGAACCGTACGGACAAGACCACTGTCAGCCCCGGGGTGATGAAAGCAAGGGCCAGTGCCAATGCCGGGCGGCCGCCGGTGGCGATCACGGGAGCGGCGGCCACAGGGGTGTTGAAGCCGAGGCCTTCACAGGGGGGAGGCAGGCAGGTGGAGGCCGCTGGCTCTGGAGGCGGCGCCGTCATCATCCCTGGTAGCCACTTGACGGCGAGCGAATTCCCCCTGTCGCAAGCTCAAGCGCAGGCGTTGGGTCTCGTGGCCGCTAGTAAGGAGGGCAAGGCCAAGGCCAAGGAGCTCGTCGGGGCGATCAAGGACCGGTAAGAATACTTGGTATTTTTTGGGTCCTTACAAAGAACACAAGAAATGCACCTCTTGCGCAGACAAGAGCCCGTGATAGATTGGCAATGAACATAAGGTGTTGTACGGCGACCAACTTATCCATGTAAATTTTGGTTCGGTGAGGTTCGCTGGGCTCTTGGAGCATTGGACCATTAGACCATTAGACCATTAGACCGTCAGCTGTGTGAGCTGTTGGGGCTGTTGGGGCTGGGAAACGTCACAACCAACTGGCGGGTGACAGCCCCAGCTACGGGGGCTGGTCCTGCTGCCCGCTTTTGTTAGTCATCTTGCAACACAACACCCCTTGATGGTACCATGCCCTCATGGGCACACTCCGGAGGAATCACGTGTATGTAGAGATACATGTACAGCAGTATGTGGGTCGCTTGGCTCGAAAACGAGCCATGCACCTGATCGATAGGTACGGCGCTCATATGTTTTGTCGGGCGGAGATGACGAGCACGCGGGATTGCTTTTTCCCCTCCAAGATTACGAAGGCACAGCGAGCGCATGCTGGTCGTGTGTCTCTCACGCATGCGCGCTGGCTGTTGCTCTTTGGTGCCCCAGATGCCTCAAGAAAGTGAAGGAGATTCAGGTGTACAAGCTCCCGACGAGTTGTGCAAGTTCTCATCTCTTCGACCTGCCCGTCAACACTAGTGTGGTGAGAGGACAGGACAGGAGAGGAGAGGACAGGAGAGGACAGGAGAGGGTGTGCGGATCGGATCGAGAGGTTTTGGTTGTATCATGTCGAGAGCCACGCGGCTTCTTTTTTTTTTTTTTACGGTGGTGCGTGCCTGGCTATTTATGGCTACCTACCTTGCTGGCTCTTTTCGCCCACACCGAGGCGAGAATGTCACCCGCCGCTGATAGGGCTCCGAGACAACCCTGGTGCTGAATATGTATCTTATTAATGGCTGTGATCACGGGCCACGGATTACCCACTGCTTGACGCCTTTTCCTTGTAGAAGATGTCTTTGCGTGTACGGGGGTTCATTAGTGTGTCTGCGGCACTGCCAGTGTGGCAGCAGCGTTAGTCTACAGTTTGCACGGGTGGCTGTGCATGGTAGGCGTCTGTTGCGCCACTTACAGTAGTAAGAAGATTTTTTTGTCGGAAGTCACCGGGAAGCCTTTGAAGCCTTGCCGTGTTGCGTGCACGGCCGTCTCTGACAGGCAACCCTGACCCTGACCCTAACCCTAACCCTAACCTTAACCCTAACTTTAACCCTAACCCTGACCCTAACCCTGACCCTAACCCTAACCCTAACCTTAACCCTAACCCTAACCCTACGTGACAGGCGACTGACTACGAGGGCATCGTCTCCACCAAGATGGACGTGAACACGGTCGTCAAAAGGCTCAAGAACAACCGCTACCCCACGGTGGAGTCTCTCTTCAGAGACCTCACTCTGGTGTACGACAACGCCATCCGGTACTACCAGCAAGGAGGAGCTCACAAGAACATTCTCATTTACGAGGCGGCTAAGGTATTTCCTTGCGTTTTGCGCGGCGCTGTGTTCTGTCCGCCCAGCCTCAATAAAATGTGCGCGCTCTGCTGGGTGCGTCGTCGTGCGCACTCACCGCTGCACCGGGAGGTTGGGTTGATTCGGGATTGTGCGTGCGTGCATTTGTAGCGGTTGCCATCGAAGCGGTGCTTGCGAAGACGGGGCTGCTGCTGTCTGCCCGCGTTGCGTTCGTTGTTGTACGCGACGGCGCTTGCTCCCATGAAAGGGTGTCAAGGCGGCCTTGGCATTCAGCATGGTTGACTGCCGTAGAGGCAAGGGGGACCAAGAGGAGGTGGTAAATTTAGGTATCGACACGCTAATCGAGGTCGTCTTGGGTAAGTACAGACGGTCTACGCTGTATTTGTCCCCCTGGACCGACCGACCGAGGGTGTTCACCGCGTCCCTTTTGCTCTTTCGCGCTGCTTTGCGCGCGAACGGCGCTTATGTACCCTCTCCGCAGGCTCTCAAAACCGTGGCCGAGTACGAGAAGAGAATAATTCTCAAGGCTTTTTGCGAGAAGGTGTTCATGATGCAAACCGAGGCTTCCCGGTCGCCTTCGCCACCACCGCAACCGCTGCCACCGCTGCTGCCGACCCAACAGCAGCAGCAGCAGCAGCAGCAGCAGCAGCGGCAGCAGCAGCAGCCAGTAGCAGCAGCAGCTCCTATGCCGCAGGAACGCCCGGCGTCATTGTCGCCGCCGCCGCCGCCGCCGCCGCAATCGCAGCCGCAGCCGCCGCAGTCGCAGCCCCGGAAGCCAACCCCCCCGCCGTTCGTCATTCCGTTCACGAAGGAAGCTATTAGGAACAAGGAGAAAGAGGCGGCCAGATCCGCGAGGGAGAAGGAGGAGAAGGAGCGCAGGCTCAAGCAGCAGGCAGAGGCGCGGAGGAAGGAGGAGCTGGAGTTGGAGAGGAAGAGGAAGGCGGAGGCGGAGCGGAGGCGCAAGAAGAAGGCGGAGAGGGAAGCGGCCGCCAAAGCCGCGGCGGAGGCGGTGGCGCGGGCGGCCGCGATAGCCCAAGAGGCGGAGGCGGCGGCGAGAGACGCTAAGGAGAAGCAGATGCAGGTTGAGGCTATGGAGAAGGCACACCAAGCCGCAGATGAGGCGGTGGTGGCGGCGGAGCCGGCGCAGCCGTCGGCACCGCCGCCGGCCCCTGCGCCGGCGCCGGCGCCAGCGCCAGCAGAGCCCAAGAAGCCCAAACCCACCGCCGCCCCCGTGCCTCAACCGAGATTCCGCGGCAAGGTTCTTAATCTGACCGCCCGCGTGCCTCTCATGCGTTTCCCGAAGAATCCTCCCAAGGTAAGCGCCGCTGCCCTGCGAAGCACAAAGGGGGTCCAGAAATTCCTGGAAGACATCGGGTTCCCCATCCCGCCGGATCCACCTGCTGGGCGGAAGCGGCCCAGGAAACCACCGGCGAAGAAGCAAAAGGTGGCTCCGTCGCCGGCACCGCCATCCATTCCCGAGGCGACAGCGATTGGGCCGTCTCCTGGCACTGCCGCTGCTGCCGCCGCTGCCGCTGTTGCTGCCGCCGCTGCCGCCGCCGCCGCCGCCGCCGCCGCCGCCGCCGCCGCTGCTTCTACCCCAGCGCAACCACCGGCGCCGGGCGCGTCGTCGCAGCAGCACCAGCGGTCGGTGACGCCGACGAAACCTCGGTCAACCTCGCCTGCCAAGGGGTCGAAGTCCACCAAGAAAAGGAAGGCTGCCGCCGGTGCCAAGATCAGCAAGGCCGGCGGCGGAAGCACCGGCGGTGGTGGTGGTACGGCCGGGGGGTTGTCCGCCGTGTCGTGGTCGAAGACGTCGCCAAGCCGATCGACGAGCCCGTTCCGTCCGGTGCCGAGTACGTCGTTGGCGGTAGGAGGAGGAGGAGGAGGAGGAGGCGCTGCCGCAGCCGGAGCGACGGCGGAGAGCAAGACGCCAAAGTCGTCCAAGGTTTCGATTAAGATACCGGCGCCCAACAAGTCTAGTGCCCCGCCCGGGGGGAGCCCGGAAGCCGGCGAGGTGTCTGCCGCTGCGGTGGCGGCGGCGGCGGCGGCGGCGGTGGCCCGCGGCCCTAAGAAGAAAGGAGGCGGGAGCAAGACCAAGACGTCACCGAACAAGGCTGGCGGCGGCGGCGGCGGCGGCGAGGCTTCGGCGGCCGGTCGGAGCGCAGGGTCGGGAACGGGAGCGGCTGAGAAAGAAACACCCAAGCTGACGCTTAGGCTGGGCAAGCTCCCGCACAAGCCCGGCAAGGCGTCGCTGAAGCCGGCCGCCGCGAGAACAGCCCCCACTCCCGGGCCCGCGAAACCCGCGGCCGCTCCCAAGCCGGCCACGGCGGCTCCGAAGCCCAAGGACCCGCCCGCTCCCAAGGCGAAGACGGCCACGTCTATCCCCAAGGTCAAGGTGGCGCCGCCCACGGCCCCGAAGCCGAAGCCCCCCCCGGTCCCCAAGCCCAGAGCACCCCAGAAATCGGCGGCGGCAACGGCGACGCCGGCTGCGCCGACTGTAGCACGCCCGGCGCCGGGCGGCAAGACTCCCAGTGGCGGAGGCAAGGCTACCGCCGCCGGCAAGGGTAAGAGGGCCAGAGCTGAAGCGGCTGCGGCCGTGGAGAAGGAGGCACCGCCTGCGGCGGCGGCGGCTGCTGCATGCCGGCGGCGCTCGCCGCCGCCGGTGCCCCCCCCTCGCCCCCGGGAGCAAGACAAGAAGCCCCCCGCGGGGTGGGGGCCCGGTTGGGGCGCGGAGGCCGAGATGCGCCCGGGAACGGAGCAGAAGTGGGTGAAGGAGGCGGAGATCGTGATGAAGCGGCTGCGGAAGAAGGACCAGCTTACGAACGACGAGTTCTTGCTGAGATATCCGGAGCTAGACATGAACCTGACCAAGAAGTTCGTGCTCGGCGATGAGGAGATGGAGGAGTACCGCGCTCTGGTCGGAGAGCCCATGAACCTGGAGCTGGTGGAGAAGAGGCTGCAGCACCCCAAGGATTGCGGCGGGCCGTACAAGAACCCGCAGCACTTCGTCAACGAGGTGATTTGGTCTGTTGGGGTGTTTTTTCTTGTTGCTGAGTCCAACGCGTCTTTCCTTGATTGATCCCATGGAGTATACATGTAGCAGAACGTGGCCGGAATGATAGCTTGTTACCCATATGGTTGGTATGGAGATGTGTCTCCGTCTCGTCTAGACTGTGGAGTTCTTGGAAGAGGCGCCGTGAGCTAGCTTCACATGGACTACACAGGTGCTCCGATTCGCCAACGATAACTGCACCGCGCGTAATTTTTTGTCATGTTCCTGTGAAAAATTTGTGCCAGCGGGGGCGCTACTTCCGATTCCATCACCTTCTGTCACATGTCGGCATTCGGGTGCCTGCCTCGCCAATACAAAGATCTGCAAGTACCATGCTCCTGCTTCATCACAGCCTTAGAGAGAGAGGGAGACAGAGGCAGAGACGGAGGACAATCGAAAACCATAATCAGAATCCAACCCACCCTTCCCTTCCGCGCGTGTGTCGGGCCACTGAATTTTTTTAATAAAAAAGGCCATGCGCACCTTCACGAACGGCATCGTGTGGTGGACCCAAGAGCGCTACCAGGGCGTCGAGTACGCCAACGACGTCGTCAGGGTCTGCAAGCACGTCCGACGCACTTTCCGTTGGCACTGCCTGGAGGTGCTGCCGCTCTGGAAGTGGGCGGGCAAGGACGGAGAGGAACCACCACCGCCGGACCCCCTGCCGATCACGAAGGAGGAGTGGGAGGCGGAGGTGAGAGGGACCCCCCCCCCCGGATGCGATTTGTTTATTTTCCCCGTCTGTCTGTCTGTCTCATGAGGTGGTTTTCTTTTTGCCTCCTACTCAATGCTTTTGCGCCTCGTGTTGTGCAACACGTACTTACTGCAGTATTGAGTTTATTGTTGCCCCCCCCTGCGATGATAGTATTATACCTTGATTGTCTCGTGTGCATCGATCAAGTACTGCTGTGGAAACAGCCCCGCCGAGATGAAGGTAAAGGAGACACCCCCAAGTACCGAATAGTTTGGACCGGACCCGTTGTTATTCGCCAGTCGCTTGACGTTTGGTGTATTTTTCGAGAGGCGAATCAATGACGGCTTCGTTGCTCTTGAGACAAAATTGTCGTGCCTTTCGTGATACTGCTATATTGCTCGAAATCAACCCCGTTGCCCCCCATCCTCTCCAACTCATCCTCCGGTACGAATCAACAACCGTAGGACATGAGACCGTGCCCTCTGACATGGAGGGAACAGAAGCGGGAGCGGCTCATTCGGGAAGCGAGTGTGGCCGAAACCAAGCTTACCGAAGGAAGGAGCCACGCCTGTGCTCTTCTCAGGAGCATGATGAAGAAGGACAGCCACTTCTTCTTCACGTACGTCCTGTACTTCCACCCTTGACTGTCGTTAATTTAGCTCGGCATATTTCGACGCGCTCTGTCGCTACCACTCTTTGTTGTGATTTTTCTCTGCTTTGCTGCGCATGTGCTTTGTTGGCATTGGAACTGCCGTGTGTGGCATGGTTTCGGTGCTTCGCGGTACTTTGCTGCTGCTGCTGCTGCGCGTCGTGCCAGGGTTTTGCAGCATGTTCTGTCCTCATTCTGCCCTCGACGTTAGACAGGCAGACAGACAGCGTATGGAGTCGTCCTAGACGCCTATCATTTTCGCGATTCTGCCTCGTTGATGTTGGCCCGCACCACTACAACAACTATTTATAATATCAGCACAAGGAAAAGTAACCGCCTACCTGCTGGATGCATAGGGAGGTAGAAACAGAGCGGTCCGTCTCTCCTTGTCAAGGAGGTCCGTCCTCATTGGCCGAATGACTCACGGCAAGCAAAACTAACAACCACCTCTTTCCCCGGCCGCCTTCCCTGTCCTACCTGCGCAGACCCGAGGTAGACTTGACGCTGATACCGGACTACCTGGGGATCTGCCCCCGTCCCATGAGCCTCAGCAGAGTGGAGAAACTGATCGGCGGTACGAAGGAGGAGGAGAAAGAACGAGAGTACCTCACCCACTCAGAGTTCATGAGCGACATGCGCCTCATTTTCGCCAACGCCATCGCCTACAACAACCCGGACAGGGTGGTGGAGGAGGTTGACCGGGTGAGTCAGAGTGCGAGTGTGGCACCACACTCAAAACTGTACGCTACACAGTGCTGCGCTAGTGCTGTGCCGTGTGTTGTGTGTGTGTGTGTGTGTGTGTCTTCTTGTTTCTGCAAGACAGTTCTTTCACCTTTCTCGCCAATTTGTTCTTGGAAGTATTTTTTTTCTTCTCTTTACGATTCCCAAAACAAACAATTCGTTCAAGGACAAAAATTAATTCGTCTCTATCCTAGATGTTGCAATAGTCTCTGTCCACAGATGTTGCAATGCTTGTTTCTCCTGTTTCTGTTTTCGATCACCATCACCGTCACCGTTATGTCTTGTCTCATATCACCGTCACCGTTATGTCTTGTCTCATATCACCGTTCCAGTGGGACCCACCCGCCCTGTGGAAAAACTTGAGTATGTTGAGTTAAATACCACACCTCGTCATTCTGGGGCACTTCAAAACGAAAAATAAATTACTTGTACTGCGGATACAGACGTGGGCGAACGCAGACGCCGGCGGTAGCGAAGGCTGCTGCTACTGCTGCAGCTGCTGCTTGCAAGAGCAAGGAATTTGTCTGACTTGGACTGCCGTTCAATCATGCCACGGCTTTTGTTTTCTTCGGACTTTGGCAGAGTCGCCACGATCTATCGATTGATGTGCGTAGGCATCTCTCAATCTGTGTGAAACGTCTGATGAGCGTTTCATTTTATCCTCTTCGTCGTTTCATTTCGTTTCGGATAATCGCCCCCCCCCCCCCTCAAAAGATTGCAACAAAGTGGCACAACACGGCCCTGCTCATGGGCGCGGAACTGGAGAAATTCATGGCTTCCCCGTACACCATCCACGTGGTGGAAGAAATTGCCCGAAACAAGATGATCCCCATGGTCCACCACAAGAGAGAGGAAGAACGCAAGAAGCTCTTCCAGGAGACCGTACAGGTTAGTCACTCAGTAACACACTCGCTTCGCACCTCTTTTTTTTTTTTGTCTAACGCTTACGCGGTGATGGGTTGGTTCATCTTTTGTGACGGGCCGTTTTTATTTCGCTTCCGTAGACGGACTTTTTGCACGGTCCTGTTTTGGTTTTCCTTTGTATGTAGCGCAGCTTCTTGCGTTTAGTCCCGATGCTTTTCGCAGGTGGCGTTTTGAATTTCCAGGTCGGGTTTCGAACGTTGATGCTATGTATGCCAATCACGGCCATGTACACGCCGCCCATCCACGTTTGTCGCGATGATGATCATGATGATGATTGTGATCATGATGATGATTGTGATCATGATGGTGTCGCAGTTCTGCCCGGCGAACCGACAACGGCGTTTTTCTTTTGACCCCCCACCCACCCCCCTCCGCCTGTCCCCCCCCCCCCCCGGACAGAAAAACCGCATCGTGCATCAGCAGGCGGAGCTCCAGCGCGTGGAGGAAGAGGAGGCGGAGGAGGACAGAGACCCGGTGGAGCGTGAAGAGACGCTGAGGCGGGAAAGCAAGCAGCGCAAGGCCGAGGACGACGAGCAGCTCCGCCTCAGGAAGCAGGCCGAGCAGGAGAGAGACGACATGATCGAGGCCATGTGGACCATGAACTACACGCACCGCAAGAGCATCAAGGCCATCATGGAGCGCACACACAAGCGCTACATCCGTAAGGAGGCGTGGCTGAGGGAGCGGCAGCGGCGGGATGCGGCCCGGCTCGCGCCCGCGGCCCCGTCTAATGGATCCAGCAGCGGCGGCGGCGGCGGCGGCGGTGGCGGCGGTGGCGGCGGGAGGGTCGGTAGGCACTGGGGCGAGTCCAGACGGAGGTCTGCGGAGCAGCAGGGCGATAAGTCTCCCCAAGCGGTCGCCATCGTGGCCCACACGCCAGACCCCTCTTGCGCAGAGCCCGTGTTGAAGAAGCCGCGAGGCCAGTGGGCTGCGGTGGCGGCGAAGGGTGGCGGCGGTCGCAGCCACGACGGCGGGGGCGGCGGAGGTGCCGCGGCATCGTCGGGGAGGCGAGACAAGCCGGCGGTCGGAGGTGGGAGGCTCAAGTTCCATCTCAAGGGTAAGACAACGGGAAAGCAGCGCGCCCCGCCCCCGCTCCCGCCGGCTCTGGCGGAAGCTGCGGCGGTAGCAGACTTGAAGGAGGAGAAGCTGGTAGCGGCAGCGGCAGCGGCAACGAAGGTCTCCGAAGCCCAGCCCATGGACGTCGACGGCGAAACCGAGCCTTCTTGTGGTGGCGGGGAGGGCTCGAACGTCGGCGGCGGGACGAAGCGGAAGGCTTCTTCTCCTTGTTTGACACCGGAGCCCCCCGCGGCGGGCGGCGGCGGCGGCGGCGGCGACCCCGTCAAGCCCGCCGTGCCCAACCGGGTGCGGCGCGTGAAGCTGTCCCTCTCCAAGCCTCTCCTGGCGAACGACGGCAAGACGTCCGGGGCGAAGCTGGAGCGAGCCGTCTGCAGCGACCCGCGCCTGGTGAAGATGCAGTGGGACGGTGGTCTGGTGATGGTCACGGCCGTCGTCAAGGACGCGAAGGGAGGGAAGGCGATCCCAGACATCGACCTCACGCAGAGCCCCTCGGGCATGACCATGGAGGCCCTGGGAGTGAAGATCAGGATAGCTGCTCCCCCGGAGGCAAAGAACAACGACGGCTTCTCCGCCGCCTGCGGGGGGGCCGTCGGCGTGAACTCCATGAGGAGGCTCAGGGGGCAGCTGCAGAAGCTGGACGGGCACATCGATGAGCACGCGAGGGGCGGCGACGAGGGGCTCCGCTGGGTAGACAACCTCAATCAGAAGAGGACGGTCCTGCGCCAGGTGGGCGCCATCCTCGAGGACGAGTTCCGGTACCTGCCGGCCTTGGGGGGGCTCTGGATGAGAGTCCGACACCTCCCGTCCGCGAAGTCGGGGTCCGGCGTGTGGAACACCGGGTCTGCCACGCCGACCATCGAGTTCCGGGTTCTGATGCGCCGCGCGCTGCTGGCCGATGAGGGCGGGCTGACGGTGGAAGAGGACTCCGGGTACGCTGAAGCGGCTGCTGCTGCTGCTGCGGCGGCGGCGGCCGAGGCCGAGGCTGCAGAAGACAGCGAGGAGGAAGAGGAGGAAGAGGAGGAGGCAGACGCGGGCCGCTTCAAGATTCCGAGCACGCCGCAGGAGTACATGCACGCCCTCGAGGAACGGATCTACAACGGTTACATGGTGCACGAGGTGCTGTCGAGGGTGGTCGACCGGGCGGTCCACGTTGCTGTCGACGGGATCGAAATGGTGGACGCACAGGGCGGCCTTGTCTGGCCTCCGTGGTCTACGGAGGAGTGCAGGCGCCGGTTCCTGGATAAGGGGGCTGCGGAAGACTTGGCCAGGCGCAGGGACGTGTTGTAGTTGGTTGGTGGGAGGTGGGAGGGAGCGCGCTTTTGGGCAGGTTGCGAGTTGAGTGCGTGCGGGAGCGGTGGTGTGATGTGCAAGACTGGCTGTAGACTGTAGATAGAATGGGAGGAAAGGGAAGGGGGCCTCTCCTCTCGGTCTCTTGGGTGTTAAATTAATTCAGAGATGGGCAGGGAGTTTTACAATTTGTTTCAGTTACAAAAAAAAAAGGGAGGAAATCGCAAACATGCATCTACCCGTCTGTCTGTGTTTGTCCTGTCTTGTCCTGTCTTGTCTTGTCTATGCTATGTGCGTGGCGTCATGTAACTTGACTTTTGTTTTACACCAGGCGGCAGCATCACTAGGCACACTACATCGCACGCACGCAGTACGATATGCGGCTTATTGTCTCATCTCATGAAAGATGTCGTTTGACCCAGTAACTGGTCGTTTTGTGTTTCTCTTTGGTCCTTGTCTCAAGTACAGTATGCATTGTGCTTGTCATACAATAAACAATGATCTGATGTTGTAATCTAGAGGAGTTATTGATGTTCCCGAAGGCTCGGGGTGGAAGGGAAGGGAAAAAAGATGGGCGCGAGAAAAGATATGCATTTTCATGCTACGCAAACAGTTTTTGGGGGGAAGTGTACGTGTAGAATACGTGTAGTGTATGTTCATTCGTGTCCTGATGTGGTGCGTGGGTGTTTGTAACCGCACAAGCCTTCGTGTTCATCGCAGCTCCTCCTGTAATTAATTTTCCGGGGTCTTGGGTGCCCTTTCTCATTTCCTCAATTTCAATTTTCTGCTCAAGGGGCGGGGGTGGTGGAGTCCATGCGAACATCCCCTCTTTTTTCGAGTACCTTGTTGTCCATCGCTGGTGACGCTAGATGTCTGTCTGCTATAATCGTTTTGGATTACAATATGCACAGGAGGCCGGGTTTGTGCGCTTGTTGTTGCGTTTTTTGGAAGGGCTCGATGGCGTGCATGCATGGTATGTGGACTGCTGTCATAGCATCGAATTCTGCAAGAAATTACCAGTCAGTCACGAAAAGAAAGGAAAGGAAAGAAAAGAAAAGAAAAGGAGGGGCTCAAGGGATGACAGGAGGGAGAGTGCAGGAAAATGAGTTGCTTCAAGAAGAAAAAACATGTGGTTGCATGAGGGTGTGTTTGTGAGGGGGTGGATGGGAAACAAAGGAGGCAAGGAAGGGGGGTGTTTATGGTGATTTTATGTACCATACGGTACGGTACGAGGTAAGGAGGCGTGAAGGGTGGAGGGTGGGGGGAAGTGAGTTGCAAGAGAGAAAACGAGAAGTTGAAAATCGGCGTGTCTTTTGATGCAGCGGCTAGTTGACCTTGTCCACGCCACGAGAATCAGTGAGAACTTTTGGACAGAGAAGAGAGAAGGCCTTTGTTTTATTTCCCTTAATTCCCTTGGAAATAGAAACAGAGAGATAACCGCGGTGAGACGAAAACGGGGGAAGTAAAATCAACCAGACCGGAGATGAGATGAGATGACATAGGGAGGGGGGGGGGGGGCGTGTGGGTGCAGCTTGGGTGCGCGCGGGGGACGGGAGAGAGTACCAAGCATGAAGGCGAGTGACTGAAGTGGGACGTGTTTCTCCACATAGTTTCAAGGCCGGGCTTCTTTGGCGAAAAGAGCGGTTGACCTGCGGAGTCAGTGGACGTGAAGTGAAAGCTTGCCTCTGCCCCTGTTCACCCGTCGTGTCTGTTTCTTGTACCGACAGAACTGACAAAAGTGATTGATGGCTGACTGCCCCCGTATCGTCTCGATGGGAAGAGATGTGCATATGCATACAAGAGATTGGATATCGAACCACGTGCGTGCGTGCAGACGGAGTTTGAACAAAGATCTGGTGTCGGTGGACACTCAGCCATCATTATTCGTTTGTTTGTGGATCTTGCGCGGTCACAACACTGCTTGTTTGCGGCAATTTCCAGGAGCTGAAAACTCTACGCGAAGAAAGTGAGAGGGGGGTCAATTATGATACGTGTATCTTCTTGTTCTGTGCAAAGCGCACCTTAGCACATAAGCGCCTGGGGACGTGGTTCACAAATCCTATCACTTGCATACAATATTGCCTCAAAACGGCCTCCCCCTTGGCGGGAATGATTCGATGCCTCGGGCTCATCATGCCAAACGTACGAAATGATACCCGCACCGTTTTCAGAGGTGGAATGAAATTAAATTGGTATCAGCCGATGCGCCTCTAAAACAAAAACTGTTGGGAAGAGAGTTGCCGCAAAAATAGCGCATCGAGTCCGCCGCGCCAACGGAAAGGCGATTGCGCTCTGGTACAACATGATGCCCGTGCATCAAAAACGGTCAAAACACGTTGCGGGGCTCTGCAGATCGGCGCTGAGAGGCTTACCCGCGGTCGCGAGCTCCCTACAAGTAGAGGCACTCATCAACCAGCTTGGACAACCGAACCAGTGGTCATCGACAAAGAAATAAAGGGTGTTGTTCATTCTTTCATTCATTTTGGATGTTATTTTTTACTATCTGACAATTTGTTTTTCATTATTTTTTCACCTACAGGGCAAAATAAAAAAAAGAGCGTTGGTTTGCCCTCCCGTCTATTATCTGCCCGCCTCCGGCCCTTGCTACGCGTACAGAGTACATGTACGATATCATGTCATCATATCATGTCCGTATCTTCAGTCTACGCACAAAGTAGCGAGCAGCATAGTGCCCATTCTATCCAAAACCCTCGAGCTCTCCCTACATGGCCAAACGCCGACAAAAGATCGGGGTTTATATTTTGTAAGGCCGGAGCTTTCCTAGACAAAAAAAAAAGAGAGAGCAACAAGCGGAGCACAGAAAACAAGCACCCAGCCGTATCAGTTGTTTCAAAACAAAAAACACTCGCTACTTTTTCAACGACTGCAATTTCCCGTCCAGAAAAAACAGCAGAGGGTTATCTGTTGTCTGTCTACCTGTGGAGAGGAAAACACAACGACTCGAACGCCAAAAATGTACGGTACGGTACGACAGAACGCGAAAGTCTGCCGCCAATGATACTTAACTCTCTCCCCCCCAAACATGACGCGGGGGGCCGAAAAATACGCCGCTCGGCAGCCGGTTTACCTAAACACAACCTGGAGAGACCTGTACAAACCAAGGAGGGCCCCAATCCTACAATAATCCCACGACACGGCATAAATATACTAAGAAATAGAGAGAGAGGGAGAGAGAGAGAGAGCGGCGGTACATACATGCAAGCAAAGCACGTAGGAGCGTAGCTTCTTCCTCTAAATCCATCCATCCCGCAGGAGCGCGCCGCAAACGAGGGGCCAAGCTCCGCTCTCTGCCCTACTATGTGCCGCGCGGCTTGGTAAAACAAAACAAACAGAAAAAAGGGAGCGAGCTGCGCCAACAAAACGAGCGAAAACTCTACTGTACAGCGAGAGAGACAGCCGCGACGACGCCGATGAGAAACACACAAGACACACTTGCACTGCTGCTGCGGTGTTCAAACGTTCCACATGCTGACGCCTCCGGCGAACAAGGCAGACAGAAGAAGCTGCTGCTGCCGTTCCTCTCCCGTGTTGTTTGGCTCCTCCTCCTCCTCCTCCTCTTGACTAGATCCTCTTCTTGGTGGTCTTGTTGACGAGCGACTTGTGGATGTGCGGGATGACACCGCCGCCCGCGATGGTGGCCTTGATGAGCGTGTCCAGCTCCTCGTCACCGCGGATCGCGAGCTGCAAGTGGCGCGGCGTGATACGCTTCACCTTGAGGTCCTTGCACGCGTTACCGGCCAACTCCAGCACCTCCGCGGTCAAGTACTCGAGGATCGCGGCCGTGTAGACTGCCGACGTAGCTCCCACGCGCTGGTGGGAGTGCACCCGCGACTTGAGGAATCTGTGGATACGCCCCACAGGGAACTGGAGGCCGGCCTTCGAAGACCGCGACTGGGGTGCCTTCTTTGACGTTGGGGCCTTGCCTCCCTTTCCACCCTTGCCTCCTTTGCCGCCCTTTCCTGACTGCCGCCAGCAGGACGACCATGGATGCAGCGAGTAAGAGGGAGAAGAGGAGGTCAGGGTGGTGTCATGCATAATGCTAGGAAGACCCAAGCTGGTTGCAGCAAGTATAGGTGGCTATTTTGACCTGCGTGCTCTGCGGTTGCTCATGGCGAATCGGTACAGACCGCGATCGGGGCTCGAGACCTGTCGAGAGAGCGAGATAAATTCACGCTTGGCTGTTGGCGGTAGCAGCGAGAGAGGGAGCAAGATCAAAAAGAGTCGTGTACACTACTGCTGTAGAGAGAACACAAGTTCTGGCACTGGATCAACAATCAGATGCTCGACAGTATTATAGTCGGCAGTGGGGCAGGCAATCCAGAGCATGCGATGGGAAAAGCACGGGAATCTGGATAAGAAAGATAACATCGTTGGCCGGTCAAAGCGGCTTTTGAGTGTTTTGATGACTCTTTTTTGAAAATGCCCAATTGGAGGCTAGAGGTGAGATAACGGCTGAGTTTTCCGAATCAGGCGCCGCCGCCGCAACTCGAGGACGCCACCAGCACAACAGGCACAACATCATTGCACAGGATCAATACAGCTTCCCGTGAAGTTGTAGCGGCATCCGCGACACAGCGGCTCCAAAATCGACAAGTGACTACAACGCCGGAGCCCGCACGCACATCTATCGAGAGAGGAGAAACAGCAGCAGGCGAAAAAAAACCGAGAGAGGGGTGCTCCCTCTTCCCCTCTGCAAAAAACGGCGGCCAACCGAAAAACAAAGAAGTCGGGACAGCACCGCAAGGAGCTATTCTAAACAAACTGCCAGCGTCAGAGCTCACCATGGTGTCCCTGTAGATGAAGAAGAGAGAAGAGAAGGGGGTAGGAGATCAGTTAGGGCAATATAACTCGTGGCGTCGGCACGTCCCCGTGTGTTCGCCTCAAATATGGTATCTGCCGACAGCGACCGACGGAAGAACCACCGACCGCGAGGAACAGAAACGCCCTCTGCAATAAACAGAAACCCTCAGCCAATCATCGTGCGGCATTTAGTTCCTGCTCGCGCTCTGAATTGCCCGGACGTCGCAGGACCATCTTTGCTCGCTCCTCCCGCACCCGCCACATCACAACACACACATCAACCAAACTCTTTTCGTTGTCATCAAGTAAACATGTCTGGACGCGGAAAGGGCGGTAAGGGTCTGGGCAAGGGCGGTGCCAAGCGTCACCGCAAGGTACTCCGCGACAACATCCAGGGCATCACCAAGCCCGCCATCCGCCGCCTGGCTCGCCGTGGCGGTGTGAAGCGTATCTCGGGACTCATCTACGAGGAGACCCGCGGCGTGCTCAAGGTGTTCCTCGAGAACGTCATCCGTGACTCGGTGACCTACACCGAGCACGCCCGCCGGAAGACCGTGACGGCCATGGACGTGGTGTACGCCCTCAAGCGCCAGGGCCGCACCCTCTACGGTTTCGGCGGCTAAAGCTCATCGTCATGCTGCTGCAGCAAAGCAAGACAAGCGGCTCATCGCTCACACGCACCCGCGAGCGAGACGCCCCCTGCACAAACCAACCTGGTGTTTACTCAACACCACCCAACTCAACAAAGATAAAACTGCCACGCGACCGTCGCCATCTTAATGCTAGCAGCTGGTGTGGAGGATTGACTTGAAGACTTTGCTGTTCAGGTGCGTCGAAATATGCTAGCTGAGGCGTGTTCGAAGTTCCAAGATAAACCGTCTGCTGGTTTTGGGTTCGAATACTGCTTTGTCCGTGTGCTGGGATCTGGCATCAAACCCAGCAGGGCTGCTGTGCGAAACGTTGCTATATTACTTTTTTTTTTTTCTCGTAATATGACACAACGAATCCATCTCTATCATAGAAAAGAGTCTGAGACAGATTAGCAATGAATTCATAGCGTCAGAAAGTACCTGTATGTCTACGATTTCCCAGACAGCATATGTTGTAGGGACCTCTCCCCTGCGGGTAACAGGCTCAACAAGACAGCAGTTTGGTAGCTGTCTTGTGTGTCTCATATATGTTGTTACTTTTAAAGCCTGATGTGTTGGAACACTCTGCCGGGGTACATAAAAAGATTTCTTTTTTTCTGAACATGACCCAACCAATCCATCTCTATCTAAGAAAAGAGTCGAAGATAGAATAGCAATGAATTCATAGCGTCAGAGAAAGCTACCTGGAAAGATGAAATACTGCTGTGAGTTTTTCTTAAAACACATGTCTTTGGCGCCCGCTCCGTCGGTTGCAAACATAAGACATGTCCGTCCCCGGTTGGTGTACAAGGAAGGTGTTGCTGGTTCTAGAAAAATCCTGTACCAACCGTGCTTGGAGTTGAACGACTGATAGTTGTCCCATTTTCACATAACCGCGAACGCTCGAGAGAGATTTGAGAGCTCTTGCTGCCGCTATCGCCTGCGCATCGTCCACGATTGCATCAACGCCGCCAAGAGGACCATGCCTATCTAAGAACCCCGAAGTACAAAAGAACGGGGTGACCCAAACCAGGGAAAACACCTTCCTACAGCAAGCCCCCCCCCAGGGCGAAGAAGGGATTATTCAGGGTGAGAGACTATCGCTCTGCTTTTTGAGTGCCTATTCCGCTTCCTTTGCATCCCGCTGTGCCGCTTTTTCCAGTTGTTCATCCCGTACAGCAGTAAGTGTACTCCGGCACGACCGAGCCCGGCACTACATAGTAGTATAATCTGCTTGTTACGAACGGTATACCAGCCCCTTCACTTCTAAGGACAAAACGATTGGCGAGGTTCAGAGTTTGACAGGGTCTACCCTCGGCCTGTTTCACTTACAGCTACATACATCAGTGACCAAGGTACATTCATCCGATCGTATGCAAAAGACCATGGAGAGGAAGTCGCAGCACTGCGCGAAGAATTTTTTCACGTGTAGTAAACAAGCGAACACATCAGGGAGGGCAAGGAGTTCCGACAGCGTAGCCTGAGCCCATCACTCCCATCAGAAACCTGTCACAGGCAACTACGTTGACTACCACACCGAAATCAAAGATTCCTCATGCTAATCCTATCACCACTCGGGGAGTATATGCATAATGTCCAATGTGTCGGCGGCTAGCGCCGCCACGCTGAGTGAAGCGAGACACAAGATGAATGACAATTAATTGTCGTTTGGATTATTGACTGTAAGCGTGTACTGGTGGTAAATCACCCGCCCTTGCCATGTGCACGCTTGCCCTCTCTTTCCCTGCCCTCCCTCCGCCGTTGCTCTCTTCAGGTTCGCCAGCAGCTCTTGGCCGCTCAGTTTACCGCCCGTAGTCCGCTAGCCTTGTCTTGGTCGCTGTGCTGCGTACCGTGAAGCCTTTCTTCTAGACAAAGATCCTCCGTTCTCGCTGGGCGGCCAGATGATCCTGGGGCGCTGTCGGCGGGTACAGACCCGTTACAAGACGTCGATACGCCTTTGAGGTCGGCCTGTGTAGCCGGTGCTGTTCCGAATGGCCGGGGTCGGGTCCTCCCCCCCTTCTACGATGGTTTCCCGAACAACAGCCAGCCCTGCCGTCGTCGGTCGTCCCCCTTTTTTTCGCACAATTTGGCTCGTTGTTGTTTCCTTGAGGGGTTTGGCGTACGGCACTTGTCGAAAAGGGGGGTGAACGTGGCGGCGCGAGAGGAGCGCCGTGTGATTGGCGGTAGGTAGTGATTGTTGCTCGGAGCCCTGTCGTGTGTACGGCAAGCAGATCCTGCATGGCATCCGCTTTCAACAACCGAGCCTCAAGCCTCGATGGCGGCCTTTGGCCTTCCGAACGGTGCAAGTCAAACAGGAAAATATGAAAATATCGCTGCATTGACATACGGTAGGCTTGACACGGGCTGGTTCGTGTGGCTGCGATGAACGCTTTTTTCCCGATGATGGATAGTCTTTTTCTCTGTTGTTGCACTTGTTTGGAGTAAGCATTTTTATACTCAATTGCTGAAAGAACACCCTCGATTGCAGATACATGCGTAAGCCCGCCTCCCCGCTTGTGTCCGCAACGTAACGGGATGACAATTGATCGGCACGTGTATCTCTCTGGGGCAATCCATGCTCATGACAGTCACGAACAAGTCGGACTTGACCCTTTTCCTTTCCGGACACAAAACAATGCGAATGGAACATACGTGCTGTCAGATGTCCGACCCCTACGGCCAAAAACGTCGTGAACGTTTTTTCGGCCTCGTAACCCTAAGCCCGTCGTCCTCAACTCAAGTTTCCCCCGGAGACTTGTTTTTGGGATACGGTTTGCCAGGGCGTCAGTGACAGTGTAACCGGTCTATTGTCGTGTTGCATACAGCTGGGAAAAAGGCCCGGCACACCTGGCTCCAGTTCGAGAAGATGTGATGTACTATAAAGGGGTTATCAAACGGTTCGTTCAAGAGAACCCGCCTCTTCCTCCCGCACCCCCTTTTCTCCGAAAGTTCAAAAGTTCCCTTCCCCCCTCTCCCCTCCCAGAGGTGAGTTGACACCGATCGAAATGTGAATGTGAAAGTGTCCCTCGCTCAGGAGCTATCAGTCAGAGGAGTATAGTGCTGTCGTGGGCCTTAACAAAAATGAATCTCCCGAGCCTCGCAAGGAGCGAGAGATTGACGGTTTCAGCAAAACTGTGTGCGGCGGAGCGATCAGCACAGCAAGCGCACAGAGACACGCCCTGTGTTTTTTCAAATTGAAGAATAATTTCGGTTTCAGGCTCGGCGAACCGTTTCAACTGAACACGTTACAGGCACATGTCGTTCTGTTCAGCCCCGCACTATTGTTCACTTCTTGAGAGCTTGCGGCGAGAAGCAGTTATCCCCCGTTAACCGCAACTGAACCATCCCTCAACAGCTATCGATGTGCCTGCCACGTCAACAACTGGCGATCTTGATGGCCGTATTTGGTTGCTTACACTGGTAACTTGATGCCTACACTGGTGCGCGTGCCCCAACAAACCCACCGGAAAAAAGGCTCTACTAGAGTTAGATACACTATTAATAGCCTTTCCTACAGAGGGCCTCTCACCCGCTTCTTTTGGCTGCAAAACTCAGAACCACTTTTGGACGGACACGTACTTTTACGACGCAAAATGCCAAAAGACTTCGCGCAAAGCATCAGTGCATGCCGCCGAGAACATCGTGGCACCGCAAGAACTACTTGCTAACCCGTGCCCCATGATTCAACAAAAGATGAAATCACTCGTGAACTAAATCTGACATCACGGCGTAAGCGTCACACACTCAACACAATAACAAAACACGCAAACTTACAAACAGCCACGGTACACCCCCTCCACCTCCCCTTCGAGGTAGGCGGGTCTTCTTACACACAGGAGACAACATGCAACGAATTTTGGCAGGAAGGCGTTGATGTAGGTTGCACCCGCTCCTGATACCGATCAAAAACGCAAGTACGACACTGAAGACTTAAGCCTCGTAAAGAACACACTACATATCAAGGTTGTTTACAATATGAATGCCAACCACAGGAAGAACCCGTTCAGGAAACAGAGGCGGAAAAAAACCCGTGGCACACGTTCATCTCTCCCGTCTGGTGGGTGGTGTTGAGGAAACACCAGGTTGCCGGAATCAATCGCGAACCTCGTGCGGCGAGGGGTTCGCGTTGGACGGGACAAAACTCGAAACGACGATGAGCTTATGCCTTCTTGGGAGCGGCAGCCTTCTTCTTGGGGGTGGAGGGCTTCTTCTTGGTGGTGGTCTTCTTAGAAGCGGGCTTCTTGGCGGTTGTGGGCTTCTTCTTAGTGACGGTCTTCTTGGTGGTGATGGCCTTCTTGGCGGCGGGCTTCTTGGTCGTGGTCTTCTTGACAGCGGGCTTCTTGGCCACCTTCTTCTTCGGCACCTTCTTCTTGACGACCTTCTTCACCACCTTCTTTTTCACGACCTTCTTCTTCGGGGCGGGCTTCTTCGCCTCGGCGCTCAGCTTGTAAGAGGCCTTCATCTGCTTGGCGGTGAAAAGGGCAGTAAGTAGTAGGAGGACAAGGGAGTCAGGTCACATTCGGCAGCAAAATTCACTTACGAAGCACACAAGAGCACTCCGCATGCGGATGGATTCGGGCGACATGCACGATGACGTAGCCCCGGGCCGAGCCTGGAGCGGAGAATGGACATGCGACTTGTTCATTGTGTTCTTTCTTCACCATCAGTCTGATTGGGATGTTGTCATATTATGCACAGCGTCCTTGAGCGGGGACGGTTTCATGTGGCAAGAAGGTACCGCACCGGTAGAGGTACAGTTGGGGCCCACGAGTAAGAAACGTCAATTTCGGGTCGAGGCTCAAAGTCTTATTTGTCTGGCTGTTGGTCGAATACTCATGATTTTTCTTGCAATGACAATTTCTCATGGTTTGGCTCTGTCGCCTGGCTTGTATACGTCACTTCAGTTATTACAGTTGCCGTTTCTTATGTTACCCATTCTTTCGACAACCATGCCCTCCATCCACGAACGTCTCCCAACCGATGAGTGCGAAACGCAGAAACTAAATGGACAAATCACTTCCTGGGGTCTCGTCTAACTGGTGCTGCCAAGGTGCCGAGGTGTGCCGCCCCCCCCTGTGCAACAATCGAAACAATGCATCGTTCAGAAGAAACGCACAAAGACATTCAAGCTATTTGCCATGAGCTCCGGTCCCCAGTTGTAGTTTCTGATGTCTCATGCCTCTGTGGGTACGTGTTTTCTTATTCGGATGTTTCTTATATTTGCGTCCGTTTTGAGGTGTGTTTCTTAGGTCAATTTTTCTCATTGTTTCTCAAAGTTGAGGGTCTTGTTCTTGAATAAGTTTTCTTAATGGCGGGCCGCAACTGTACCAAAGCAGTTATTTACGTGGTCGATAGTTAAATGCTCCACTGCTCCACATCCGTGACGATGCAATTGCCGAAAAGAAGGGTTTAGAAAACATCTTGTCAAGACAAGTCTTCTCTGTGCACGTTTCGGTCGGGTAGCACCTTCGGACCCTTTTGGTTGTGCAGCACGACCCATCTTCACAGAACGATCGCCCGCTCACCTGTCGTTCGTCTCTTCACTCTGACGGTGACACCAACAAAATACTTGCAAACAAATATCACTATTATATTGCTGTACGTGCATAAATCTACTGGACGAGCAGTTAACAAAAGTTCCCTTTTTATCCGGGAGGACAGGCAACAGGACACGACCAGCAACTGAGGGCAGCCGTTGCTGTTGTTTGGACTTCATGTGGCGTGCACCACGGATTTCAATTTCTCGACTCGCTCGTGAAACAACCCGGTCGCGCACTCTCCATTGCTACTGGCTGTATCTACAGGTGTGAAGCTTTCATAAAAGAATGCTGCTGCGGTAGTTTTGGTGCTGCTGTATTGCGGGCAGCTATGATACGTCCCGGTGAGGAGAAGAGAGACATGTAGAAACGGCGGTGAAGCACTGGTGTTGGATTCTTTTCTGAACTGTACGGTGCATACAAGTACCGGTTCAAGGGATTCTTTGCCGGTAAAAATGTTGGAGATGGAAATCGAGGGCAGCCGTAACGAACACATGTTGTAGCGCCCTCGTGACAAAGGGATACCGACCATGGGTGCACATGAACATCCGCCGGGTTCCCCCGCAACGCACCTTGATGAACTTGCCAGACTCCACTCCCTTCTTGAGGGCGCCGCGCATCTGGTGCGGCGTGAAGTTGAGGGTAGGGTAGGTGGCGGTGATGCTCTTCTTGATGGCCTGGATGGAGGATCCGTTCCGCTCCTTGAGGGTCTTGATGGCATCAAATACCATCTGTGGCGCAAGGAGAGAAACGCACGAGAACGAGAAACGATCGAGAGGGGGGAGGGAGCACGGTCGACAAGGTATATAGTCCACACACGACACACCAATAGCCGGCACCGAGGAGGCTAGAACAAACTTGCCGAAAGAGCCGAAAGACTCAAAACGTCAAGACTCCCCGCCAGACCAGCAGTCAAAACGGACTAAATCGTCACTCACCACGTTGTACGTGGGCTTGGCGGTCGACATGGTTGATTGCTGGTGCTGTTGCTGGCGTTCGTAGGTGCTGGCGAGGGGTCTGTGAGCTGGCAGCTACTTCATTGTTTACCGGCTCTCGTTTGTCGCCGTGTTTTTTTTTTTAATCTGCATATTAGCAAACGGTTAGAGGGGAGTTCAACCACCAGCTGAAACGCTCAGGTTCCCATTCGAAATTCATTTGAAATCCGGCGCTTTCCATTGGCCAGAAATTGACAAGGCTAACTCGCCGCATCTTCGGTTCCTCCGCTGCTCCGATGTCCTCGTGTCCTCGTCCTTACCCTCCCACCTCCCACTCTTCCCACTCCCCATCTTGTCCATTCACGTAGCTCTTTCCCACATCAGACACCATGGCTCGCACGAAGCAGACCGCCCGTAAGTCCACCGGAGGCAAGGCCCCCCGCAAGCAGCTGGCCACCAAGGCCGCCCGCAAGTCCGCACCGGCCACCGGCGGTGTCAAGAAGCCCCACCGCTACAGGCCCGGCACCGTAGCCCTGCGCGAGATCCGTCGCTACCAGAAGTCCACCGAGCTGCTCATCCGCAAGCTCCCCTTCCAGCGGCTTGTGCGCGAGATCGCCCAGGACTTCAAGAGCGACCTCCGCTTCCAGGGATCGGCTGTGCTCGCTCTTCAGGAGGCTGCCGAGGCCTACCTTGTGGGCCTGTTCGAAGACACCAACTTGTGCGCGATCCACGCCAAGCGCGTGACCATCATGCCCAAGGACATCCAGCTGGCCCGCCGCATCCGCGGCGAGCGCTCTTAGGTCGTCACAGCCTAGGCTGTATCGATGGAGGCCACTAACTCTCTACCTAAGTGAGTCAGTCCTCCCCCAACAACTACCCTGGTGTTTACTCAACACCACCCTTCGCATCGAGGAAAAATTGCTCGTCGAGCTGCGTCGTTGGCAAAATTCAAAATTACACCAGTACAATGTGTTGACCAGAGCAGGTTGCAGTGTGTCTACCCCCAAATCCATCACTCACTCCGTCATCAAGTGGGTTGATGCAACCATTGAAGACTGATATGAGTTTGTTGGTTGTTTACCGCGCGCAGTTGATTTTTACTGGTTGTGCGGTCTGCGGCATCGGAATGTTCTACTGCTGTACGTACGCATACATCCGTATTCAGGCACATCTACTTTTGTCGTAAAAGCACGAGGAGGGTGCCAGTGCCTGAGATGCATATTGTACGGACGGTGTCTTTTGAAAGAATAAGATATACAATAGCGAAAATCCTTTGGCGAAGGTGAGGTGGACATAGCAGTCAGCCGCAGTCCAGTCCTGATTGTTACACGGAAGTGTCAATCGAGAATTCCTTGTCTCTGTTCCAAGGCCTTCTGCGTTCCTCAAGGCCGCGGTGGACTAAAAAAAACATACAGGGTTCAACGCCACCTCATTCTTGAACCCCGTGGAATGTATCACTTGAAAACAACAGAAAGCAGTGTAGGGCAGTTCGAACCGAACAAGATTTTTTCATAGCCTGCAATGTGATGGTCGTCACCTTCGCCAGAGATGAGAGAGACACCAAGAACCGTACGCAACGAGCGGGCTCGTTCCGCCATTTGCATGTATTACACATCGCACAGCGCGGCAGATCTCTCTCTCGCTCCCGTATTTCTCCAGTGTTGCACACTTTCGCATATCGTAATCGAGCATCTTCAGCGTCTTCCTGCTTCAACTGATTCCGGCGCCTTGTTTGACGTCGGACCCTATACATAACCAACCACCACCTTAACCTGTACTCCCCCACAGCTTCCGGCATGTATTTCCGGGTGTTGGATTGCATGGTCAATGACAACTTGTCTAGTTCCACCGTCACGTCGCCAATATTGTTGTCGGGGTAAAGCCTCCTGATCTGGCTCTTGCACATATCGGCTGGAGTATGCACCCTTTCCATACAAGACGCTCTACGGCACTACTGCCAATCGAAAGGCGGTGTCCTTCAGCGCCACATGCCGACCACAATGAACATTTTGTACAAAGGACCCCGACGTTCCCAGGAAAGTGGAGCATGGTATTCCGGGCAGTACAACAACGACGATTTCTAGAGTTCGAGGACGATCGATCGTAGACAGACGCGGCCACCATGTCCAGTGCCGTACTCAGCGCCCATACCAAAACCTCCATGGCATCAGCACCCATGACCCTATGTAGCCCATCATGCCCCCACCCATATCGTTTCTCATGTTAATCTCGAACCTCAGGGACCCTACCTGTTCGGAATCAATCAAGAGCGTTCCACACCCTTTTTCTAACCCATCACACCACCTGCTCCTTTTCGGATCTCACGCACGTTTCGATACGGTACAAAAGTCGATGAAAACTGCACTGCTGTTGTGGCAGCGGCACGGTCTCGGCCCAAATGGCAGTCTATCGAGTCTCATCTCGCCGCCCACTGGTGTTGCACAATCCAAGGGCTTCACGGATTGCTCGCAATCCCTTGCTCGGTATCCGTTGTGGGCGCCTATTGCCGTGCTTCTTGCTCAACAGACGACACGACCGGAGCAACACTAGACGTCTCCACGTTTAATGCTTCTGGCTCCACTTTCACGCCGTCTTCAACCTTAGTAGACACTCGAGGAGCAGCCCCTGACTCCTCCTCCTCCACCACGTGCTAAGTGCTAAGGTAGGTATGGACACAGGCCTCCCGGGAGCAGCCACAACCTCGGACTTGTGCTCCGCCCTTGACTGAGACCCCACCTGCCCGCCCCCAAATCTCTGTACAACATCTGTTCTTAACCGCCCCCAACACTCATCGTCTTCCCACCCGTCCACCACATCCTTGCGAGGAGATAATCCCCTACGGCTTCCGAAAGTTCCTCTGGATCCTCCCCCTCGCGGAGATGGTCAACCTGGTCCCCCACAGTTCCTTCCTTGAAACCAGCAGCGGCCTGCCTGCCACGCCCAGATCCTGAGTTTAGGTGGACCCACTCCCAGAACACATGGAACATGTGTTTGAATCATTGAAAGCCGCATCCAATCATTGATTTGCGCCCTGTAAACACCTTTCCCTACCACGCCCGGGGGCTCAACACCCCTACCTACCCGGAAATCTTGGCGAGGAGCAGGAACTTTGACGACGTAGGTGTTGCATGTACCTACCCCCTTGCATCGCAGGAACTTGCCACGGACGAGGACACAGCCGGCCCACTCAAAGTCGCTTTATGTGCAGATAGATGTAGAAGTAAGGGCTGTTGTTGTCTTGTTGCTGCTCGGACGCGTACAAATTGGCCTGATCGCCATGTACGAGGTTTACTTTTTTTCGATCGCATGCAACGCATGAAAACCTTTCTTTCTGGGTCTCTAGTTCATCAAATCCAACTCTATATCGAGAACCGTTTACCATCCACGACCTTGATTGCTTGTTGGTGTCAAGCGGAATGCCGAATTCGGCTCTCATGCCTGCTACGCAGAAATTTGCATGTTCTCATCGGGTGGAAAATCGTTCCATTCCCTATCAAGTTCCATATCCAGGTAGAACCGTTTTCCACTCGCTACACGAGGCGCCCTTCCATGCTCGGGCCACCCTCTTCAGTGGTATAGTTGGGGTGTCTTACGGGATACGCGGTATAATCATCACGGACCCTTTTTTATAGCCTCTCCGCAGCTTGCCGCCACCACGTTCTCTTCATATATATTCTAGGCCAAACGCTGATTGATCACGACATAACACGACTTGTGTTGATAGTTACAGGTTACCATATCACCTGGGTGAGAACCCCACGCGCTCTCTTCTAAGGGATCTCCCTACTATGTATCGTCAATCAACCTCCTGATGAGAAATCAATTGCCGCTTATTGGCGAAAATCATGGTTGTCACCGAACAGCTTCAAAAAGTCACCTCTGAAGTATTTCTCCTGTACGTAAAGTGTTTGCATGAGTTGAATAAACACTGCTGTGAATATAGGCCTGCCTTGACCATGAAAAATACAGCAGCATTTGTGAGAGATGCACAAGGAGCGGTTTTGGTATGCAGTACAGTGGGGGCCCCTCAATAACGCCGGTATGTGCCCAGCGCATCGACCGGTGCTATTGGAATAGTGCCTCAATAGCGCCACAACCGGTGCTATTGAGGGCTCAGAACCCTCAACATCGCCGGTTGTGGCACTATTGAGGGGTAATGGTCATGTGGCGCAGCGATTGCGCTTTACGGAGCCAAGATATTCACAAATTGAACAAGAAACTATTGGCTGGTGAAGTGGGCGGACTGCAAAGGACAAATTATGTTCCTGGACTGCCTAGAGTTGTGGTATTAGATGATCATCTCGAAAGGAGGCAGCATGCTGATCCTCCTGCCTCACAAATAGGCGCTGTGCAGCCGGAAAAGTTGCTGTTACAGAGAGGACTCCGCGACAGCGAAATGACGACACAACTGCACCCGATGCACCATTCAATGGAAAAAAAAATCACAGAGTTGCAAAGAATCGAACAACAGCAAAGTAAAACAGATGTGGACGAGAAACGCGCAACAGCACTCTTTTCGCCTTGCCAGCTTTGACTAAACACGGACACGTACGGCAGATGCGGTGCATGTCCTTGTCGTCTGCGATGCCTCCCCAATTGCCGTGGAGCCGCCCGCCACATCCTCCCTGACAGCATTGCCCATGAGGGGGTTCTGGCGAAGTGTCGGGCGACTTGCACAGTTCACCTTCCGCATGGCATGGTGCACCTCTATTCATACGTATTCTGTAGAGCTGGGTCTGTAGATGCACGCGTGTACCCCTCCTGGTGTGTAAGCTCCTGAGGGCAGGCGCGTGGTGTGTGGTTTGTGTGTGTAACAAAATACAACCGGCGCTATGGCGGGGTGTTGAGGTGCCCAAACCGGCGTTATTGAGGGCTTCTGGCTGGGCCCAGCAATTTCACCGGCGCTATAGAGGGCCACCGGGATTGTTCAACCAGCGTTATTGAGGGGGCCCCCTCACAGCTGTAGTCACAACGTGGAACTTTGCAGCAAAGCAATTATAATAGTACTGTAGGAGCACAGGGTGTGCAGGAGAGAGGGCTGCGTGCAAGAACAGCAATGAAGTACAGTGGGGGAAATATGATACAAATGGAAAGGCTGGGAAAAAACCCCGTAATTGTGCGTGTTATCGCACCCCCGTGTTAGCGTTTTCTATAGCGTATTTTTCCACAACCAGGGAGGTATCACCTCCGAAGAGGAAGGTTTTGGAAACATCTCGTCGACGGCTTTCCGGAGAGATATCAGTTAGTGTTCGCGGCCTCCTAGTTGTGGAGAAAACGCTATAGAAAAATGCTAACACGGAGGTGCGATAACACGCACAATTACTACAGTACCTACGGTAGTGAGCTGATCAACCCGAGCAAGTGACACGCACATGATGGTTCGTATAGAGTTAGATGTGCACCTGGATACATGCAACCCTCTGCACCAGATTACTATCGTATATAAAATCTGTACCATATGCATTGGATGGAACAGCTAGCTAGATGCCGCGAAAATACCGCAAGCGGATGCAAGGTCGAGCAAGACTACGCACGCACGTAAAACGCATATGCGCGCATGTATCGTAGACTACAAGATAACGAACCCACAGAAGAAACCACACACCCCACAGAATACGACACCCCGGTGATAATTTTGGGCGTTTCTGACAAAACAATCGATTTATCACCGGGGCTACATAAGATAACACACCCCTTTAGGTTACGCCGCATACATTCACGGCGCCCCTCCTTCTATCACCGGGGTGATACAGCATCTACCCCGTGGGCATGTGGGCATCGCACACACCGACAACATATG